CCCAGGAGGCAACCTAGTGCACAAAGTTCGGTGGGCGGACGACTAGGATGCCGGGATCGCCTTTAATCCTTGAGACGAAGATTGGACTACCGGAACATCATCTTGAGGTTGTCCACAACTGGAAACAACTCCGTCTTTCGCTCTGACCTCGCCTGAGGTAGCTTTCGAATGACTTTGAATGAGTGCTGAATTCCCCCCAAAACAGCAGACGACGACATCGGTGGGCGGAACCAGGACAGTCCAACAGTGCGAGCTCTTGTTCCGATCCACGCACATACAACTCAAACTTATTGACATGGTCAGTAAGACGGGGACCGAGGAATAGAGGAAAGGCCATGAATGCTGACTCTCACGTGTACTTTTCGATTCATTGGGGCATGCAATTTGGGCAGCATAGATCACGTTTGGGCAGAGTGGCAACCGGCGCTGCATACTGCTTCGTGGGATTCCCGGGCGCATAGGACCCATGCATGGCAGTGGGAGCATGACTTGGGCGTCCCACGACCGGCCCCAAACCTTCTGCTACTACGCGCAAGCTCTTGCGAGTGATGGCGACAAGAAAGACTTTCCCCCCTTTCGTCCCCGCCAAGGGATAGTCTGCTCCCCGAATCAACCTCTCAGACACGACCGGAGCGCGTCCCGGCATGGGCGACTGCCAGGAAAAGACTATGGCCGAGAAGAGGCAAGAAGCCAGCAGGAGACAAGAGACTAGTATCAACTAGAGCACGTCGTTTCTGCAACCCGCAAAGTATATCGAGGTGCCGAAGCGACTTGACCTCACACCAATTCTTGCGCTATGGAACCAAGTGTTCTATGGCGGTCATCTCGCCTGCCCAACTTGCAGACATGGAGCAGAGGAGCAGCAAAGAGGACCCATCCGTTGAAAACCCCGGGTCCCGGGGCTACGTGCCTTACGGTGCGCGGTCATGCTGAATGGAGCCAGGAACTTCCTACCTTAGCGGCCGCTGCATCCTGGCCAGGATTTGGGTCAGCCAAGTAACATTTCGGATCCGGGCGGACCACGATGGGCTGCCGTATCATTTGGCGGAAGGGCCAGGGAAAGCCACATTCGGGATGACCCTAGCCTCAGAGAAACCGACCTGGTTTCCGTCTTTGAAGGCCTAGGCCTCAACAGATGCTTCTGAGGGGTGAAGGAGAAGGATGCCTAGTCCCCGACCACCGAGACACGCACCTAAGCGTTCCGATTCTTTCCTTCATCGACTCCAAACTGCTTCGTCGGTGGCTGGCAGCAATTGTTTCTTATGGTCCCGGTCCATACACTGGTGTGGATACCCGGCCTTTCGGGCAGACTCAGCAGCTCTGTCGCAGGTAACGTACATCCTAAAGGCTAAGGGAAAGACCATCGAGATCCTCGCGCACATAGACTGCTGCGCCATATGCAGGTTTTAACCGGCAGGAGAGGGGACAGAAGGCGATCTGCAATGGAGCAAGCAATGTATGCGAAGACGCCTGCATTGCCCAGCCTGATGAGTGCTTTTTCGCGCTTCAAACCTCTATGGTGGATTCTTCTAGTTGGCCCGCCTCTGCTGTGCCTCGTTCTGAATTCGGCTGTCCGACAAGCCTTTCTTTTGCGGATTTATTCTGACCGTACCATTGCTGCTTGGTCATGGCCTCACCACGCCACCTCGCTTTCTGTCACCTACGCTTATCGAAGAGATGATGAGATGGCCCCGAGGATCTGGCTCAAGTCGATACATTAGGTGGATTTTGGCGTGATACTGGCGGCAGCGAAAGAACTTTGCTACTGGGACCGGCGAGCGATACCATTTGCGAGTCAGAAGAGGCCAAAACGGGGCAGATCTTCTGCCTTGTGGGCGGGCGTTATAGCCCCCAGGGTTGGGATTGGGAGAACGCTGTGGATCGTCGCTGCCAGCTGTGCTCCTCGGTGCGAGCTCTCGGCTTCTGATGTGCAGCCCGAGACAGCTGGCTTTCTGCAGAACGACCGATGCCCTTAGTGGCTACGCCTGCTGTTGGAGACTTCCTCCAACATGCATCTTTCGTTCGTTATGCTGTTGGAGTTACTGAGACATGGCCATCTTCACCGTACATGCGCCTGCGCCGACGCCACTGGCTCCTCCAGACGCGCGGGTTCAGACTGCAATCATCAGGGTCGGGGGGTTTGGGAACTCCCGCCTACGTGTCTTTCTGCGAGGATGGAGCAATCTGACTTGCCTGCCAAAAACAGAAGCAGATTACCGTACAGCGCCCACTCCTCGGGGCAATACGCCCCTTCAGACCTTGTTTGGCGTTGCAGCAACAGGACATTGACCGCTCGACAACACACGGCTTCAGCACCATCATCTGTCGATGTCCAAGGAGGCGTGATCCATCAACCGTTTACCAGCCTGCGGATATGATTCCTAACATTGATTTGGTGTCGTTGGCTCGGTTACGTAATGTACCAGATGGAGGGTGAGTACAACGTGCGCAATAACGCCGCATCAGCAGGCGTCGTCTAGAGTCTTGACACTTGCCGTCTTCCCTGTCGTTTTCCTCGATTTCGTACAGTCTTGGAAAATTCCGGTTTGGGCCCATCAGTCTATGAGCGGGCCCCTGGAGGTCTCTGGCGGGGATGGCACGGGGACCGCAGGCTCTTGGGTGCCGTTGAGTTGTTGAAGTCTGACAACGTCAACATTGATTGACTGGAGTTTTGTCCGAGAGCTTCTATTCGTCAATTATTCGGGGCACCTCTGTCCCACGTACGTCACTTATATCCTGGGATTTTGCCCACCTTTGACGAGACTCGATGTCAGTTGTTGGCCCCCGCACTGAAAGACAGGGATTTCTTTCGAAACATCTTCAATTGGGAGTCGATAACTCATTGAATTGAATGTTCTTTAGTCAGCAGACATGAATCTGCAAGATGGGCAAGTCGAGTCAAGATGATGGCTTTCTTTGCAAAGCCAGGCAACCCTGCTCTCCCGTCGTTGCAACAGCCTACGGATACCAGTATGTAGGTACACTACGCCATCCTCTGGTAAGCGCGGGGACGACAACCGGCCCCCACGGTTCATCCATTTCCTCTCTCTGCGCTAAGAGTCCGGCCAGCCGTCATCGTGGCATGATTTCTCAGGGAATGATGGGCGTCCTGGCATTGCGCCAGCGCGAGAAGAGTTAGGTTGGCTACCGGGGGACTCTGTACCCTTAATCTGCAACATACTTCGGCGCGTCTCCCTCAATGGAGCTAGAGAGTACCTAGGTTACACCGGGTTGACCGCCGGCATACACGACGTGACGACCGTCAGCTTTGCTCGGTCATCTGCGCCGACAACGCAGACACCCGCAGAGTCTCTTCCATCGAGTCTGTCTGCTTCTTTCTTTCTTTCGTCGATTTCGGTTTTTTGCCCCCTCGTCCATCTTCGCTGACCTTACCTATTCCTTGCCTGGCTTGCGGATAGGGGCACATTCTTACCAGGGGCCTGGCCAAACTCTCACCTGAACTGACCGACTTGCCGCTACTTGTCGCTACCTAACCACTGGCGCTGACCGCTTACACCTGCTAGCTGCCGCTACCTTGCGGTACTTGCTGTGCCCTGCCCGCTATGTTGTACATTTCAAAGTTTTTCGCACGCTTATTTTTTGCTTTCTTGTCTCACAAGTGGAGTGGTCATTGACCACGCGCTTGACACGTGTATGGGAAATTGAATAAGGCCCGGGGGGGATTGTGAGCGAAGGCAAGGGAATGTGGCTAACTAACGGGTGTAGCAGCCCGTCCGGATGCTACTCTCGGCCAGATCCCCGCGCGTGCAAGTGCCAGCGCAAAAGTCGTGTGCTCCGTTCGTCATGGAGACTGGAGTCATGGTCATGGAACCAGGGAAACAAACCATGGAGGAGAGCCCCAGGACAGGGAAGTGAAGTGGACGAGGAAGAGAAGATCGTTGCTCTGTTTACCGCTGCTTGCAGCCTCGTCACAGACGTTCTTACACCTTTCTTACGCAGTGATTACAGTATCGTTGCCCAATATATTCCCATTTAATTACTCTCGTGATGGGGTTTTCGCCGTCATGGGAGCCCAACTATTCGTATCTGCTTGCTTGCCTGCCCGCCTCGTCCGCCTCGCCCGCCTGCCTGGACTTTTTCAATGGAGTATCAAGCCATTCCCCCGCCGTCGCATATCACATCACATATACACACATATCCTTCTCCTCTCTCACACACACCGCGGCCCAGCACGCGTTAGCCCCCGCGATAGCCGGAATGACCCATCATATCTTGCATCTGCCGAGCTTCGGGCCTTTCAGTCGGGTATCATGAAAACTCGACTGAAAAAAAGTTTTTCATCACCAGTGTACATACATTACAGTCTTGCGCGGCCTCAGGCGTCCGAGAGCGAGCCCACTATACGTGTAACCAAAATACGTGTGATTCTGTGAGAAATATGCCCCTGTTGAGAGCTTTGAATTTTTGTCGTCGGTTAAAACTTTGCCTGATTTCACCAGACCCTTTCTCCCCTGTAAGGCGCCGTTGTCAGAGTCTTCTTTTTTCTTGTCTCTTGTCCCCCGACGTCCCGAAAGTTGGGAAATAAAACTGGTAATCAAGTGCGGGTAACAACTAATTAACACCACCGACCACCCTTGCCCCTCCAATTAAGATTGGGAATGTTCTATATTTTTTTGTCTTCCTTGGATGTTCATGGGACAAGGTGTCCGTTTGTGGCGTGTGTGCCCTTGCTTTCTAGGTAGCGAGTTATTGCGTGAGAGAGAAATTCTCCATGTCCGGTCTATATCAAAACGCCCAAACCCCGGTCCGTCGCCCAACCTCCCGGCTCCCGATTGAAAAGACCCTCATTTGACGTCTCGATCGGGGGCCTCTTTCTCTCTTCTATCTCTACGGCACCTCTCCGTCGGGGGTGCGTTTCTTGCCTTCTCTCAGTTCGCCGAGTCGTATGAGGGAGCCACCGGTATCGTAACGTAGCCTCGAATACGGGGGCTCTGCGGAGGACGGATTGACGATGGCATTGTCACTCTGACGAGCATCGCTCACCGGCCCTTCTTCATGGCCTCCTTGCGGCGCTTCTTCTCCGTCGCGCGCAGGAGTGCCGTCTTGACTTCGCCCTTTTCGAAGGAATCGAGGTCGTAGTAAACGGGGGCGATTTCCTGCAGCACGGGGTAAATGCATTAGCATTGGCTCTTTGAATTAGATATAGGTGTGTAACACCGCACAAGGCAAGTGCCGAAAGACAGGGGGGAATGGAGATCGGATCGTCGTGGTTTTGGAGAGACGAGTATGGGGCTGTGCGAATGGAGACGGAGCTGTTGGGTAGGATTGGGGTGCTTACCAGTAGCCACTCTGGCCTGATTCCGGTGCAGGTGCGAATGTACTGCTTGGAAGTCAAAACAAATTCGTTGTACAGGACCCATTCGTAGTCTGTCTTCAACACGGTTGAGGGGTGCATCATGACAGCCTGGTCATCCTTGATGGTGCGGTAGACCTTGCCGGACGACTCCTTCATTGCGACTTGCATGAAGAAGCCAGACAGCAGGGCGCGGCGGATGTTTGTGTAGTAATTCTTGTCTTCAAACGGCGTAGAAACGAGCTCGAGGCCATGAGTCTCCATGATGCGCTTCAGCTGGGCGCGGACGTTGTCTGCGCTGCTGAGATGACGGAAGGAGAGGAAGTGCTCATGACACCACTTCTTGGGATCAGAGCCGACAACGTTGCCCTGGCCCTTGAAGGCGTGGTAGGCGTTGAGAAGGGTGAGATGGTCACCCTCTGGGTGGGAAAAGTGCGACTTCATCTCGTCGGCGCGCTTACGCTGAGCAGCGGGACGAACCCAGATCTGAGGGACGGAGAGTAGGGAGGTGATGGACAAAATCTCGTTGGAGCAGTAGAACTCGGGGGACGAGATGAGCATGACGGCGAGGGCGGGGTCGAGAGGGAACTCAGAGGCGAGAGAGCCGAGAGTGGTGAGCTCGCCATCATCATCGAGACATGCCAGGTAGTTGAGCTCCTCGAGGGCGCGCATCATGGTTTCAGGGGCAGGGGGGTCCATAAGGTCGAAGTGGACGAGATCCTCAACGCCAAGTTTCTTCAGCTCGAGGACGGTGTTGGCGAGGTTGGAACGCAGAATTTCAGGGTGCGTCTGCTCGATGAGCTCCTTCTTGAAGGCGTTCTCGGTGTAGAGACGGAAGCACTTTCCTGGCTTGGTACGACCGGCACGACCAGCACGCTGCTGAGCGGAGGCCTTGGAGATGGGAGAGACCAGGAGAGACTCGACACGGATACGGGGGTTGTAGATCTTTTGCTTACTGAAACCGGGGTCAACGACGTAGACGATTCCATCGATAGTCAGCGAGGTCTCGGCAATGTTGGTCGCAACAATGACCTTACGACCCGGCCTGCCGCCCTTCTTGTAAGGCGCGGGCGCCTTATCGAAGATCTTCTGCTGCTGGTGCGGCGGAAGAGTTCCGTAAAGGGGGTAGACGGCCAAGGGCCCGGCATCAATCTCCCTAATCATCTCGTCGGCCTCGAGGTTGATTTTCCTGCAGGCATCCTCGATCTCTTCCTCTCCCGTGAGGAACAATAACACATCACCCTCGCCCTCAGAAGCGTGGATCTGGAGGACCGTCCGAATAGCGGCCTCAACGTAGTCTCTCTCGGGCTCGGGGGTATAGAAGATCTCGACGGGGTGGGTACGACCGGGCACGGCGAGGAGCGGCGCGTCGTTGAAGTAGCGCTGGAACTTTTGGGCATCGAGGGTGGCGGACATGACGATGATCTTGAGGTCAGGGCGGCGAGCGGCGATCTGCTTGAGCAGGGCCATGAGGATATCGGTGGCGAGGGTACGTTCGTGGGCCTCGTCGAGAATGATACAGCTATACCGGGACATCTCGTGATCGTGGATTGCCTCGCGAAGAAGCATACCGTCGGTCATGTACTTGAGGATGGTCTTCGGTCCTGTCATATCCTCGAAACGGATGCTGTAACCAACCTCCTCGCCGAGGGTCACATCCATCTCGTCGGCCACACGCTGCGCGACGGACATAGCGGCAACACGACGGGGCTGGGTACAAGCGACCAGCTTGCGGTTCAGCTGGGGGAGCTCGTCGTAAACGACATATTGGGGGATCTGCGTTGTCTTTCCGGAACCGGTCTCACCAACGAAGACGAGGATCTGGGTTTCGTGGTACTTGTCGAGGAATTCTTGCCTAGGGGCTGTGTTAGTGATTGGATCGTTGAGGATGCAAGTGCAACGAGGGCTTACCTTTGCTTGTGTACAGGCAGATCGCGACGAGTCTGCAGGATCTGGAAGTACTTTTGCGAATGAGGGCGTCCGGTGAAGGCATTCGTATCAAGGTCCTCCACCTTCTCGGCTTGCTTGGCGGTCGTGGAGCGCTGCGTGAAATCGGCAAAAGGCGAGTTGGGGTCGAGATCGCCATCGCCGCCGTTCTCGTCCTTCATGTGCGCAAGGTAAGGGTTGTACTTGGGCGCTTCCTCGGAGTCCTCCTTCTTGACCTTCTTCCTTGAAGCTCCGTCTCTGTCGGCACTGAGGCGCTTACCGCCCTTAGAATCGGTATCCGCCATCGTGGGTCAGATGATCGGAAATGATGGGGGTTTGCGATCGTGTTGGTGTGTCGAAGGGGGCTGCGGAGGGATGAGTTTGCGCCTGACTTTCGACTGCGACAACAGCAACAACGACTGGACTCGAAGACGCAAGCAAGGCAAGCGAGGCTCTCTGGGAAACTTTTTGTTGTCGCGGTAAAAATTTGGGCGGGTCTCCAGCACAGACCAATGAAAGGGTGATATGATAAGATAACGCAAGCTTATGCATGGAGACACAGTGCTATGCATCTTACACACTGTATGGAATACTTGGGATGTCTTAAAGGTCTCTTGGTGATCCTTCTTTCGCATATACTCTCTGGCGGCCTGCTCTTCTTTCTCTGTTCCAGGCAGTAGACTCCATTTTGTATTGAAATAAGAAGAAGATTGCACATCTTTCCTGTACTAAAGCGACTACTTTTCCTGTGTACTTGGTAACTTTGATGTAGAGGACGACGAGGGACGACGGCGATAGACGACAACGATAGACGACAATAATAGCAGTAACACACAGGAAATGTAGTCGCCCTAGCAGAAAAAATACGCGGTCTCATGGCATTCGCTTAACATCAAAACAAAATAACATCTCTCCTTCCAAGAGGATGAGATGGCAGTCCCAGAACACATGCATGGATGAAGTAAGTATCTTGTGTGACAGCGGGCACTGTCCCCTCTCTTGCCTTCTCCAGGGTCCAGGCTCACCGAGTCCACAAATGCAGGTGCAACCAATGGCACCTGGTCTTTGCTCACAAAATCTGGTGCATTTTTGCTTGCGGGTGGCAGCAACAGCATGACTTCCCAGATTACACATCAGAAGAAGGTTGAGTGATCCCACGCCTGAGCCTTTGTCTCTGTTGCCCTGAGGCTCTGTCTCCTGTCTCCGTTGCCATTCTTCTTTGGGTATTCAGACGTTATAAGCATGAATTGCTGACCCTTCACTTTCACTTTTTTTCTTGCATTTTTCTATTGAAGCAGGAGCCACTGTGATTTGTGCGCTGAGCAATTACACCATTCGCAGACCGGATCAGTCAGGCGGCACAGCGTGCCCCTCAGACAGCAACGATGGACGCCAGCAGCTTCAGCCAACCTACCAGACCGATCTTCAGTCTGGGCCAGCATGATTCGAACAGAGACCAGCCTCTGGACGACCTCCAGTACGGTCAGCTCATCAATGCTGGTGTAAGTCGCCCTGAAACCCTGGCTCTCACCCAAACCCCACTAACCCCTCCTCCCAGATCAGCTTCGTCACCACACCCATCACCAACAAGCATTTCCATGCCCGCGTGAAGGATCTCGTTTCTGCCCACCTGGCCAAGGCCAAGCAGGGAGCCGCTTCTCTGGCGGATGCTGTCGTGCCTCCTCTGACGCCCAAGGATACCTCGTTGTTCCCCAGTCATGCCGTCACCACTTACATCGCCTACGCCAGCCCTTGGATTGACCTGGCCTCGATTGACCCTGTCATCGCCAGCGTTTCTCGACAGGTGTTGAACCTCGAGATCGCCTACGCCAACTTCTGCGGAGTCCGAAGCATCATTATCCCCGGTCTCAGAAGGGATGCATCCAAAAATGGCGGCAACCAGGGTGTCTCTCAGTACGCCCGAGCTGTCCAGGAGGCTATGACCATTGCGAGCCGCTTGAACTTCATCATCCACATGCCCATGTACCGTGAGCCTGGCTTGGAAGAGACTGTCGAGCTGCTGTCTACGCTCTCCTCAGAGCCCCACGGCGACGACAACAAGAACATCGACATTTACAGTGCCTGGGACTCATGGCACTCTGTTCGCAGCATCTGCGAGTACAACATGCGTCTTTTCGTTGGTAAGAAGCATCTCCCCATATTGGAGGCGCCATAATGACCAACGCATACAGCCGTCCGAGTTCCCAAAGTCCTACCCGAGAAAGAGCTTCAAAACAAGTGGTTCGCCGAGCCCCTTCACTTCTTGACCCTCGGCCCCAACGCCTTCCAGAAGAACAAGGGTGGACATCCCGCATTGCCTAAGGGCCACCAGGAGTTTATCTACACCCTCATGCGCCTCAAGAATGCCCCTTGGCTTCTTCTCAGCGACGTCGGCCCGGACCCTGCCTCTCTCACAGCCGAGGCTCAGCTGCAAGCTGTCTCCCTGGCCAACCAGGTTCCCACAGCAGCCGACTTCCCTAGCTTGGACGAGGCGCACTCTGGACAGCAGCCTACCGACCATGTGAAGGAGTTCCGGTCCTACGTTACCTACCTTAAGTACCTGGAGATGCAGCAGAAACCGTTGGCCTACCTCGAGCAAGCCACCCTCACGAGCTTCCAGGACTGGCTTCAATCGCCTTTGCAGCCGCTGTCCGATAATCTCGAATCAGCAACATACGAGGTCTTTGAGGGTGATCCAGTCAAGTACAACCAGTACGAGGCCGCCTGCACGGAGGCTCTGGCCGAGTGGCATCAACTTGGAAGAGCCACCTCCTCAGGCAATAATGCCGTTGTCATCGCAGTGGTGGGTTCAGGACGTGGGCCCCTGGTCACGAGAGCCCTCAGAGCCAGTGAGGCAACTGGCGTTCCTGTCCAGGTCTGGGCTGTTGAGAAGAACCCCAACGCCTATGTCTATCTTCTCCGACAGAATGAGATGATCTGGGGAGGCAAGGTGACGGTTGTCAAGACGGACATGCGCGCCTGGAAGGGGCCTCTTATCTCTGGCTCCCCAGACGACAACCCCGTGTACGGAAAGGTCGACATCCTTGTTTCCGAGCTTCTCGGTTCCTTCGCCGACAACGAGCTTTCCCCCGAGTGCTTGGATGGCGTTCAACACGTTCTGGCCCCCCACGGCATCTCCATCCCGGAGTCGTACACGGCGCACATGAGCCCCATCGCGACGCCTCGCATCCACGCCGACCTGCTTACGAGGCTACCCACTGAGCCCAACGCCTTCGACACCCCCTGGGTGGTACGTCTTTTCGCGATCGACTTTGCCGCACAGCGCGTACCGGATCACCCTCGCTTCCAGCAGGCGTGGGAGTTTACTCACCCCGTCCCGGAGGCCACTCTCAAGCAAATCGAGACGCGTCGCGCCGGAGGTGTTATGGGCGGTGGAGGCGGCAGCATGGCCGGTGCCGTCGGCGCCAACGACCACAACTCGCGTTTCTGCCACCTGACATTTGTCTGTCGCACCAGGGGTGTCATCCACGGCCTCGCCGGTTACTTTGAGTCGGTTCTCTACGCGCCCCAGACGGGATACAAGGAAAAGGTGGAGATCAGCACGCACCCAGAGCTCATCGACCGCAAGAGCAGAGATATGATCTCGTGGTTCCCTATCTTCTTCCCCATTAAGGTAAGCACGTTGGTCTCACTGGATTTGGACGGCCAAACTAACATTTCACAGCAACCCATCTACTTCCCGGCCGATACGGAGCTGGAAGTTACGATGTGGCGGCAAACGGACGACTCCAGGGTGTGGTACGAATGGCTCATCGAGGCGTACACCTGGGTCAGCGAGACACAGCGTATCAAGGTGGCGTCATCGGATCTGTGCAGCAGTCGCAAGGTTGCTTGTCTTATGTAGTATCGAAATATCAAAAAAGGAGGCACAGAGGGCGCCGTAGCGTTGTTTTCTTTTCTCCATAGTTTGCTGCCGGGGTTTATGATTGTCCCTTTTTAGCGCAGCCGCGAGTCTGGGGGTATTCGTCTTGGTGAGAACAACGATTCATGGTCGCCAGTCCTTTTGTTCCGCAAAAGCCTTTTCTTTTTCCATAACTGCTCCCATCGTGATCCGTGTCAACTCGCCCTGTCGTCCTGGCTCCTCGCTTGGATGGTAGATGCTTCCGCTCGTCGGTTCGTCGGCTCAACCCTCCATCTTGACATCGCCGTTCTCGCCTTGCTTCGCGCCGCGGATCCAGAGGACGTTGTTACAACTGCTCGCATCGTTAGCGAAATATGCCCCCAAGTGAGTAAAGGAGATAGATTCATACCGGATCAAGACTTGGCCCAGGGCTCCAGTCATCTTCTGGTCAATGTACTCCTCGGCGCCGCTGAGCTGGATGTTCATGTAGCTGTCGATGCTGATCAGCTTGCCCTTGTACTCGGTGTCGCCCCACTTGAGTCTGATGACGACGTCCTTGTCGACGCTGCGATGGCAAAGTTAGCGAGACTGGTCTCCCGTGTCGCGATCGTAGATGAATGGGTGGTGGGAAGCTGCAATACGCAGGGGCGGGACGCACAGGTCTTGCAGCATAGGCCGCGGGTTAATCGGCACAAACTGTTTGAACAGAATGGTTAGCTCTCTAATCAACCATCAAGGGCATTGGTGGCACAGGGGAGGAGACGCACGCTCATGGTGGGCGGTTCGAAGGGGAGAAACGGCCCATGTAATGGTGGTGGATTGGAGGAGAAGATGGGTTTGCGCGCTTCGAGGCTGTGATCGCGAGGCTCCTAATGCTGCGGGTACCTTACCTTTACCTATCCAATCCCTGCTTTTGGCTGACTGTTCGATTTTTAGGCGGTCGAGGCACAGGCCACAGCGGTGTACTTTGTACCTGAGGTTGCCTACAGTGGGTGGGAGGTTGTCGGAAAATCATCGGTTCCACTGTAATGTGCACGCTCAGGGATGTAACCCAAAACCTGGGGAGTGCTGAGCTTGTTTTTGTTTCCTTTCATCTCTTTCGTTCCTGTTGATCGTTTCGACGCGAGTATTAGGAATAGTGACAGCAACACCTCTCGGGCACGACATATTGTGAATGCTTCCGAGACCCAGGCTGCGAGTGCAACCTGAACTGACTCGTCAGCCAACATCAATATCAGTCTTCAGCTGCCAAGGAGAAGCTTAAGCTCTCCCGCTCGCTACGTTGCGCCCCGAGATACCACGGCTACAAGAAGCTAGAGCTGCGTAGGTCACGCAGCAGTGCAGAAAAAGTCGCCGCAGCTTCGAGATCTGGGATGTTCACTCTCCAGGTTCAGCTCGTGTGGCTCGCGGCATGCTAGCGCCAGCCGCTCCAGCCACAGGGTTCACGGATTGTCCGATTGGCGCCGACGGTGCGCGCGGTGGTATGTGACTTCCACAGGCTGCCGTCCCTAAAAGTCCCGCGATGAGTCTCCGGCCAAGGCGCGAAAACGTCTCGGAGCCAAAGCTGCAATACGGGCGGTGATGTCTTTTCAGCTCGTGGCTTGTTTGAGGCGCCTGATGTATGACTGTCTCAGGAGTTGCGAGCTTGATGTATTCCATTGTTTATAAACTGCCCGAGACCCATGTTGCGAGTGCAATAAGTCGTCCCAACTCCTGAATCATTTCCAGATACACTAATAATAGTTATTGTGCATGCGATCTTCACCTTATACAAGGATTCATCATGGGCATCTTTGACTTCCGCCTGTCTTACCAATGGCTCTTCTGGACCGCGCCCACGGGCGAGCCCCCAGCCGCACCCGAGGGTCTTACACGGTACTGGGTCGAGACACCATCTGGCAGGATAGAGGTCCTTTCCAACCAAAGCGAGACCCCGAATACCTCCAAAACGCCGATTGTCTTCGTCCACGGCGGCATGGGCAGCGCCTGGGTGTGGACCGAGTACATGAGGTACCTGGGGAAGCACGATATTCCCTGCTACGCCGTCTCCCTGCGCGGCCACGGCAACAGCTGGCACCCGTCGTACTTGAAGATGGTGTACTTCACCACTAGACAGAACCTGGCCGACGATGCCATCGCCGTCATCAGGTGGGTGCGGGAGCGGCAGGGGAGCGAGGTGTTGCTGGTGGGACACTCGAGCGGCGGCGGTCTCAGCCAGGGAATCCTATCGGCACAGCAGGCGCGTGTCAAGGGCGTTGCGCTCCTTGGTGCTGTCCCTGCCTTTGGCTCGTGAGTATTGTCGTAGGGAGTGAGGTATCCAATCGTTGACGTCTGACAGGCACGGCGTGTATGCCAACTGGGCCATGTTTGACCCGTGGTTCGCCGTCCGCATGTTGTTCCACGGCTGGCATCCTAACTCTCCGCTTTCACATCCCTTCCTGGTGAAGCAAGCTTTCTTTGGCCACCAGATGACCGAAGCCGGCGTTGCAGACTTTCAGAAACATTTAAACAGATACGAGTCTTTCCTATGGCCCATTAGCATGATGAAGCCTTTCGCCAAGGCCGCCGACATTATCGATTCGATCAGCGGCTGGGGCACTAGCACGAGAATCCTCATACTCACGGGCACCCAGGACAAGTTGATGACGCATGGTGTCATGCAGAAGCTCGCTGGGACATTCAGGCATGCTTTTGCGCAGCTTGTGGGCGAAAAGAAGTTGGATGCCAAGGTTGATACTGTCAATTCTACTGGAAGCGAGGGCAGCGAGGATGATGAGGGTTGTGGAGTGAGGCTAGCTTGGATTCACGGGGCTGGGCATCACTTACAGAACGATGTGATGTGGGAAGTTGGAGCGAAGAAGCTGCTCGACTTTTATGAGCAGCTGTAGATGAATGCGCGAAACAAAACTCTACTCAATTATTCGGTATGCTATTCAGGTAAATAGACATGGGTAAATATAGGGACCCAAAAAGCGAGCCAGCGAGTTGTTAAATCAATATTCCGCTGAAATATCACAACTCTTAATATTTTTCAACTCCTGAAGAGGAGTTTGACGTAACAATGGTGACGTGCTGGATCAGATTGAATCTTAAGTTTTCACTCTATAGAAATATGATCCGTTGTTGAAATCCAAGTCCAGGATAAGTGTCCAAAATGAAACAATGAAGTTTCGTATGTTCGTTGTCACTGGGTTGGCTTATTTGCGATGAGAGGTGTGATCTCATGCTGAACGCTCGTTCCTATAAAAATTTCGCGGGATCAACCGAGCTTCACCGAACCTCCGCCTTACAGCACTCACCCCAGTGACCACCTCAAAATGGCCACGCAAACGTTTGAGACGAACGGCGTTCGCGTCGCCGTAGAAGGCTGCGTAAGTCTCATTTCTATCCATCTTAATCAAAACCCAGTCGCACTAACCTTCCTCTAGGGCCACGGCACGCTCAACGCGATCTACGCCGCCGTCGCCACCTCCTGCGCCGCCCGCGGCTGGGACGGCGTCGACATCCTCATCATCGGCGGCGATTTCCAGGCCGCCCGCAACGCCTCCGACCTCACCGTCATGTCCGTCCCCGCAAAGTACCGCGAGCTTGGCGACTTCTGGGAGTACTACGCCGGCCGCCGCGTCGCGCCCTACCTGACCGTCTTCGCGGCCGGCAACCACGAGGCCGCGGCGCACCTGTGGGAGCTCTACTACGGCGGCTGGGCGGCGCCGAACATCTACTACCTTGGCGCGGCGAACGTGCTGCGCCTTGGCCCGCTGCGGATCGCGGCGATGAGCGGCATCTGGAAGGGCTTCGACTACCGCAAGACGCACCACGAGAGGCTGCCGATGGGCCCGGACGAGATCAAGAGCTTCTATCACGTGAGGGAGGTTGATGTGCGGAAGCTGCTGCTTGTTAGGGAGCAGGTTGACGTTGGGGTCAGCCATGACTGGCCGAGGGGGATTGAGAGGTGGGGTGATGAGAAGGCGCTGTGGCGGATGAAGCCTGATTTTGAGAGGGAGTCGAAGGACGGCTCGTTGGGGAATGTTGCGGCGGAGTATGTCTGTGACCGATTGAGGCCGCCTTATTGGTTTTCGGCGCATTTGCATTGCAAGTTTGCCGCGTTGAAGATCTACAAGGATGATGATGGTGCGAAGGACGCGGAGGCGAAGGGTGCAGCTGCAGAGACCGCTCCGGTGCCTGACCCAGCTGCGGCGCCAGAGGGAAACCCGGATGAGATTGATTTGGATGGTGATGAGGATGTTGTGGACGCACCACCAATTACGCAGACGAACCCGAACGAGATTGATCTCGACGAAGACGAAGACGACGAGTCAGCCGCCGCTGCGAATGCCCCGGCCAGCAAGCCGGAACCCGTCACCAAGAACACCGTCTCCGAAGAACTGCGCGCCCAGCTTCCCGCATCATTCGCCCGCCCCCAACCGCAGGCCAAGCGGACGCCGGGCCAACCCGTCCCGCCCACCATCACAAACAAGCAGGTCAACTTCCTCGCCCTCGACAAGTGCCTCCCCCGCCGGCACTTCCTCCAGCTCCTCGAGGCGCGCCCTCACAACGTCCTCCCCGCCGACCAGCCTGCGCCCGCCCGCCCCTTCCGTCTGCAGTACGACCCCGAGTGGCTCGCCATCACCCGCGTCTTCCACCCGACGCTGAAGATCGGGGACCCGTCGGCGCACACCCCTCAGGACCTGGGCGAGGAGCACTACGCGCCGCTCATTGATGCGGAGCGCAAGTGGGTTGAGGAGAACATCGTTGCGAAGGACAGGCTGGATATCCCGCTCAACTTTGAGGTCACGGCGCCGCCTCACACCGAGGGCGAGCCCGAGTCGGTGCCGCACCAGCCGTTTGAGTATACCAGCCCGCAGACGGCGGCGTTCTGCGAGCTGCTGGAGATTCAGAACATTTGGGACGCGAGCGAGGAGGAGCGCCTGGAGAGAAAGGCCAGGGGACCGCCTGCTGGGGAGTTTAGAGGACACCGAGGCGGCGGAAGAGGCTTTCATCGGGGCGGACGTGGTGGTCGAGGCGGTAGAGGTCGGGGAAGGGGCAGAGGCCGAGGTTGGCATTAGAGTACACCATCACTTTTTGAACGAAAGTCGAACACCTGGAGCAGAAATCGATGATGAAACTTGTATTATACCCAGCTACGGGAGGACTAGTATGAAAGTATGTATCCCAACAGAAAAAGCGTAGATCTCAATGGAAGAACCTGAGTCGAGCAGAGTGAGTGGAATGGATTCAATCTTCCATCTATTTTAGACGTTCAGCCCACGGAGGAGTGTAGGGAGGAACGCATATGCTAAGATGGGGTGCTGTCGCGCTTGACGCAGCGAAACACGTTTTTGGTCATCATCGAAAAAGAAAGAGGAGAAAAGGTGCCTCTTCGGCATGAATTCGTCAGTATGGCGTAGCAGTGGTATCTTTTCCCCAGTGTGCCTTTGCCGTCATGCTCAAACGCCCAGAACTCCGTGATAGCAAGCCTAAATCACATGGATTGTTTCATAACAGTCGTCACAAGGAGCCGGTGTTCTGTTCTGGAAGCAGTGTTAGAACCGTTGCGGCCGAGACAACCCGTGGGGGAGGAGGAGGCTGGGGAGGGTTTTGTCTTACTGTCCAGGCCCAGGTAGTCGGCGGCGACCAGCAGCTCGAGGCACAGCTCGACGGGAATGTCCATGTCTGGGACGTCTTCACGCTCCCGGTAGCGGTACCAGTATTGGAAATACTCGCAGACCTTCTCGAGGACAACGCCACTGTGGGAACCCGGTGGTTAGATTCTTCCAGAACGCGTACAGAAGACAGCGGAAGGATTGTGCTGCGTATGTATTTGTGTGGCTGGGGAACCAGCGTGGGAAGAGGGAAAAAGAAATGTTGGTTTTGTTTCAGATCAAGTGTAGTTGGCAATCAAGCAGACCAGCCGTTGCAGCAGCGGTCTGTCAGTAAGAACACAGCGAAATAAATTGGAGATCATCATACTGATGGTTTTGGGTTGTTGAGAAAAAAAGAGATTTGTAGCTTACCTGATCTCTGAAAAGACGCAGCGTCCCGAGGTTGCCTCACGGAACTGGCTGCGGGGATCCAACATGCCCTTGATCGCGGGGCTGATCAGAGCAGCCTCGCGCAGCACGACAAACTCGAAGCCATCACTAGAGACCAGAGTAATGTACTTGCTTTGGGCGTCCCCGTTGGTGTCCATGGTTGCGGCGAGGGTGTTGCCTCAGACTATGGCAGTGGAGGGCTGCTGAGAATGCTGCGTCCCTTGGCAGGTGGCACTGCTTTCGAGTGAAAGCAGATGTGTGAGGCGTTGCTCCTCTGTGTGGTGATGCAGCTCTCGCTCTCAAGGCTTTCTTGCTTCCTCAATGCTGGTGGCAAGCGGAAGCAGTGATGAAAGGTGGACGCGTTCGTTGTGGAAAAATTCACGTCGCGATTTTGAAGGAGGCGGTGGTGGGGTGGAGCTCGGGCCACCCACAGCTGCTGCCGCCCGCCGGAATGCGAATTGGCCGTTCCTCGACCGGATAAACTGACGACAGCTGAGATGTTCCGATCCAATGTTTCTGGGCGGTGCGTCAGACGACAGGGGCCAACCAAGCTTGTCAGGGATTGCAGTTGATCCGCCGCTAAACAGGCCAGGCGTCGGTGCAGGTCGCTGTTGGCCCGTGGGTCCCAGGCTTCTCGACGCCTGGCCGCTCGCAACCCGCCTGCCGTCATCACCCCGGCAAGAAGTGGCTGGTTGCCCCGTCGACTTGTTTACACTTGCCCTCCTTGCTCCCGTCCGCTCTCCTCAAGAACAGCACAACCCGCCCATCCACACCTCTCGCACACAAACCCACCCCCATACAATACACAATCCCGAGCTGATCAGATCAACACACCTTCTCCAACATTCCTCAATTCAAACGCCGCAACGTCCCCTAGCCCGCACCGCATGCCGAACCAGAACCGTATCTCAACGGTATCCGACTGAACTGAACGCAGCAGCACGACCGCCACATTCGAGGAAACCGAGAGGTTGGAGAAAAAGCAACTATCCGTACCGCACCACCGCTTTCTAATCTGTACCCGGGGAAACATCTACAGCCCAGACAACATTCGCATAAGTCACAACTTTCGTCTTCTCCCCCCTCAACAACCCCTCCCCCTCAGACGAACGACCGGCCCCTACCTACTACACACCTACACTTCATCATCATCAACAACAACGCACCCGCATCACGCAACGAGGGGCCGCGCCGCGAAACAACGTTAGTTTGTCGTCGCACAACACCCACACTACCACACACTTGAGTCTGCCGCATTATGGCGTCCTCATACCAACGCTCCTCACACCAGTACTCCTCGTCCCAGACCTTCAGCGAAAAGTACGACGACGGCCTGGGACGCCCGACCACCTCCCGCCGCAACACGCGCCTTAGGAGCAGCGACGGCACCGTCAGCACCACAATGAGCTCTTCCACAGGGCGCGAGAGCGCCGCAACCCACGTCACCGAGGGCCCTGCCTACTCCAAGAAGATTGTCGTCGTCGGCGACGGCGGCTGCGGCAAGACTTGTCTTCTCATCAGCTACAGCCAAGGCTACTTTCCAGAGGTAAGGCACCGCACAGAAAAATGCCATCCCAATTTCGTCCCATCACCGCACTTCGTCGCTGCTGGGTTCGCAACGCTATCCCTGCCCATTTGGCGCTTCGGGCAACCGAAATGAATCAAAACAATGCTGACCATGGCGACGCAGAAATACGTCCCCACCGTCTTTGAAAACTACATCACGTACCCGACGCACCCGCCGTCTGGTAAGACCGTGGAGCTGGCGCTGTGGGACACGGCCGGTCAGGAGGAGTACGACCGACTGCGACCACTTTCCTACCCGGAGACGGACCTGATATTCGTGTGTTTTGCGATTGACTGTCCCAACTCGCTAGAAAACGTCATGGACAAGGTACGCCCCCTCTGATAACAATGCCCCTCCTATCGGGCGGACCCCGTTTTTCCTCCCGCTAATGCTAATTTGTTCTCATCGTAGTGGTACCCTGAAGTCCTCCACTTCTGCCCATACACCCCTCTGGTCCTCGTCGGCCTCAAGTCAGACCTGCGCTTCAAGAAGACATGTATCGATATGCTCAAGACACAAGGCTTAACCCCTGTGACGACGGAGCAAGGTCGTGCCGTCGCCCGCAAGATGGGCGCCCAGTACATGGAGTGCAGTAGTAAGGAGATGACTGGTGTCGACGAGATCTTTGAGCAGGCCATCCTGACCGTTGTCGCCAACGACCGCAAAAACCTCGAGGCTCAGGCCGCCGTCTCTTCGTCACACGGTGCCCCTAGCAGCAGCGGTGGCATCCCCGGCGTCGGCCCTCTTAAGAAGAAGAAGAAGAGGAATTGCAAGATCCTCTAAGTCTTGACGACTGTAACGACAAGGCATAGGAAGGCGGAGGGCGTAATGAATGACTTTTGTTTTATCTGCATGATCTCGTCACGACCTGCTACTATTACGATCTGGAAAGCATGCGCCGCCATTAGCGAAGGGGGCGTCTCCTGTCCTGGGGGCTGGATGAACTCTAGACCGGGGACGACTTTCCCTTCACCAGGGACGTGGGATGTGTGTTTTTTCTTTTGACTCAGGGGGAGAAGAACGGTATATAGGGGGGAACGCGGAGGGAAGGTGGTGAGACCTGAGTTGCAGACTCAATCCATACCCTTTACACACGACACAAACGGAGCGGGTACGGAGAGACCTTGATGGGTTTCTGTATCCAACAGTATTAAACCAAGTGGGAACTTTTCTATTTCCTATCTTCTTTTTTTCTTTCCTGTAGCATCGGGTTTTCTGTCTTGATAGGGCATTCCAGGGATAGGAAACATGAAATGTTAAAAGCATCAAAATTCAATGGCTTCCAAGGTTCGCAATGTGTGTGTAGTATGAAGTGTTTAAAGTAGAAAAGTCTAATGATTCTATTATTCTTGAATTATGCACGGCTCTGATGTGATAGTAATTTTGAGTTTGGTGATGCTATTGAGGTTGATGAGAGTTATGAGCAGCAAGACCATCGGAGAAATGGCACTGAAGGACCATATGTATAGATAAATGGGATTTTGCAACGAGGATTAAGAATTCCATGTTGGCCAACACCCATCTGTCAATCAATCTAAAGCAAACAAACCATCACAACCTCTAGCAGATCCTTGCACATCATGTCATCTACCCAAGTTCAACTTGCCGATCTCCCTCGATCTGGTTACTGCCATTCAGGCTGCGGCAGCGATGCAGGCTCCACCACAACCACAGGCACCACGACCACAGATTGCGCCACCACCACAACTGATGGCGGCCCTTTTGCAGACGACGACAACTTAACAATAACCTCCAACAGCACCACCGCTACTACCAAAAGTAAGGGCTGCTTATATTTAGACAACGGCAGCTCAAAAAGAGCAACCGCCGGCACCAATACATCTAATGGCGGCCCATTTTCAGATGACCCGTTCTGTCTCATGGTGCACGTCGATGACGAGATGACGGCGTGCGAAGAGCATCTGAACGTAATCCGCCAACAGCGTGAGGTCCTGCTCCAAAATGACCAGCTCGCGGCGCGGTGCGCGGAGAACGTCGACAAGGCCGAAGAAGAGCTGCGCCGTGTGGCCGCCTTCGCGAGGGAATGCAAAGTGCCCTGGACGTACGCCTTTTTGGGGAAGAACCTCGGAGAGGACGCCAAGGCTGCCCGGAGAGAGCAAGAGGCCAAGCTGCGTGAGCTTCTTTCGGGGGTGATGTACAAGTTTGAGTCCGCCAGGCTGCGGTGCGAGCGGACCAGGGGGATGGTCAGTGCCATCCGGAGGGCGCTTGAAGCGCTCGAGGAAAGGGCCAACGGGCCGTGGGGTGTCGTCTCCGAGCTGAGGGAGCGGCAGGTCGAGGTGTACCAGTACAGTGATTCCAAGATCTGTATCAAAGTGCGGCATGAGGGGGAGCCACCACGGACGGAAGTCTTGGAGGCGCATAAGAGGGGGAGAGATTTTTGGATGGAGCAGAAGGAGCTGACGAGGGATGTTCTTGAGATGGAGAGGGTATTGATGTCTACGGCGACAAAGTGTGCTGTAGCGGCTGGGGAGGTGAGGGGGTTTAAGGAGAAGGGACTTGAAGGGATGATACGGGGCGTCAAGCGTGTGGTTGATGCGATGAAGAAGAAAGAGGCGAGTGAGAATGGGTGTGAGACAAGTTTATGGGGCAATCTGCGAGCTATCAGTTGGTCCAGGATGCGTTTTTGGTGACGATGAAGTCGGCATCGTTGCCTTTTCTGGTGCACGCATATCGCATCGAGTTGGAGAGCAAGCCGAGCATCCAGTCGATGTCGTATATCATTATCATTTCCGAATACGTATGGGGGTATCAATTCATGAGCTCGCCTCGCTCTTCGCATCGCCGTCGTTGCTTCCTTCGCCTTCCTTGGGCTGCTGCTCGGGTTCCTTCGCCATGACGTTCTCGAACTGCGACCACAGGGCCTCGACGGAGGAGAACTCGTTGCCGACCTGCGTTGGCGAAAACATCAGCCCTTGTGCTCAATTTCTTGCAGTGTCATACGTCGCGACGATCGGAAGTGGAAAGTCTTACCGTGATTACGGCCTCGAGGGAGCGATTCAGCTTGTTGATGTTGGCCAGGACATGCTCGAAGCTCTGTTTATTTTCAGTGTCAGCTGCTGTTTGTTGACCTGGAAGAGGGAGTCTCACCATTGCGATTTCTCCGATGAGTTCCTCTCGCTGCTGCTCGAAGTAGGTCTTCTCCCGGCCGCCGGCCTGGGAGTGGGAGAACGACCGCTGGTGTGACGACATGTTTTCGTGGTGTTGAAGCTGTCGTCGGGGTGTTGCGAGTCGCGTCGGTGAAGAGGGCGCGTTTGCTGCGGGATGGCGGGGTACTGTCACTGCTGCATCTGGTGGGGTGGACTGTGCGGGGTGCGAATAGCGATGTATGTACTGTGATCAATGCCCTCAGAATACCTGAGAGGAATCTCGGAGTAGTCTCACAACGGCGGCATAATCCTATTCAGTTGAATCTCATCCGATGAGTGAAAGAAAGGTTTAGGGAACCAAACTGCTCTTGAGAAAAAGTTGTGATATCAATATTTCTGGGTTTCGGACCTGATCTTGCCGTGTTAGAGAGTAACGAAGCACTGAGCAAAAAGATCGACCTTATTAGGGCTGTGAATAGCCTCAACTAGCAAAAGACTGCGCCGAGGGGGAATCGAACCCCCGGCTCCCCGACGCTGCTGGATGGCAACGGAGAATTTTACCACTAAACCATCGGCGCTGATTGGTCGTGTTGAGCTGTTGAAGGTTATCCCAAGAGATGGCATTATATCGCGCATGCATACGGGGCTGTGGATCATAGTGGAGGAACTCAAAGACACTCTCAACGAGGGTCCCTTTCGAGGGGCATGAGCATCTTATTAATTGAAGAAGCAGTGAAAGTTTCTCTTAGTGCTCTTTAGCTTAGAATACGATCGTCCTCTCTAGATCGTTTATTATGTGTCTTACCTAACTTAGGAACTCTAGCTGAGAAGAATAAAGACACAATTAGGGGAAACGAGCAAGAAGACAAGAAACGACAGCAATGAGCTAGGAAGATCAGAGAGAAAGAACAAAAAATGTTTTAGAGGGTCAAAAAGAGCGATGTTCTATGAATATGAAGTTGAAGGACATGAGCGATTTCAACTTATTTCTCACCTCATGCGTAATGTAAGCCTCCCGAAAAAGTACAGAACAATATCATAGATTTCAAATATGCTACCATAGACCAAACCCCCCTTTACCAACTCCAAAAAACAACGACTTGCTCGCTGCATACCGCCCCTTTTAAGCAGACTCTCCCATGCTCTGAATCATATCAACCGTCCCGTTTGCCACGCCCACAAACCCATTCACCTGCTTCTGCTCCCCCTGCACCCGATCCTCGGGCCTGCCCCAGCCGCCGCCGCCAGGCGACATGACAACGATGCGGTCGCCCGCCTCCATCATGGCGGTGTTCTTACCGCCCAGGTTCACGACCCTCCCGCTCTTCTTGATCCACACATTACGTCCCCGCTGGCCGTCCTCACCGCCCCTCAGCCCGTACGGCGCAAACGACCGCCTCTCGCTGAGGATGCTCGCCTTGATGGGGATGCCGAACTCGATGTCTCTGATAATACCGTCACCACCCGGGTGCGCACCTTTACCGCCGCTGCCCTCCCTGAGACAGAACCGGCGCAGGATGACGGGGTACCGCCGCTCGAGCGACTCCGGGTCCGTGATGCGCGTGTTGGTCATGTTGGTGTGCACGCCGCTGACGCCGTCCCAGGTCGGGCCGCCGCCGGCGCCGCCGCAGATGGTCTCGTAGTACCCGAAGCCGGTCTCCGGGTCGTCGGTGCCGAAGGTGAGGTTGTTCATGCAGCCCTGGCTGGCGGCGGCGGCGCCGAAGGCCTTGAAGATGACGTCGACGACGCGCTGGGAGGTGAGCACGTTGCCGGCGCACACGGCGGCGTGCTCGGTCGGGCGCAGCAGCGAGGCCTCGGGGACCTGCACGTCGATGGGCCGGATGGCGCCCTGGTTGAGCGGGATCTCGGCGTCGACCATGCAGCGCAGCGCGAAGATGATGGCCGAGTTGCAGATGGCGATGGGCGCGTTCCAGTTGCCGTACGCCTCGGGGCCGGTCCCGTCGAAGTCGAAGACGGCGCCGCCGGTGGCCGGGTCGATGGTCACCTTGAGCTGGATCGGCGTGCCGTCGTCCATGTAGTCGATCGCGGAAAGGGGTGTGCCGTCGGTGCGGGCGTGGATCGTCTTGAGCATGTCGCGGACGGCGCGCTCTGCGGCGCCCTGGATTTCTTCCATGTAGAACTGGACGACGTCGATGCCGTAGTCCTCGATCAGGGAGTGGATCAGCTGGCTTCCGCGGTGGTTTGCCGCGGCCTGGGCCTTGATGTCGGAGATGTTGTCGCGGAGGCATCTGGTTCCCTGGCAGCCCGGGGAGTGGGCCGGCGCCATGAGGAGGTCGGTGAGTTCCTTCTCCTTGAAGACGCCGCCCTCGACGACCTTGAACGCCTTGATGACGGCGCCCTCCTCCCAAAGCTCCTTGGAGTTGGGCGGCATGGAGCCCGGGAGGATGCCGCCGACGTCGGCGTGGTGCCCTCTTGAGGCGGTCCAGAAGATGATCTTCTTGCCCTCGGCGTCGAAGATGGGCGTGATGACCGTAAGGTCGGGCAGATGGGTGCCTCCACACACGGGGGCGTTCGACAGGATGACGTCTCCCGGCTTGAGGTTGCCCGCCCAGTGGTCAATCTGCCACTTGACGGCGAAGGCCATGCTACCAATCATAGCCGGCACGTGCGGCGCGTTGGCGACCAGCCCGCCCTCGGGCGAGAAGACGGTGCACGAGAAGTCGAGCCGCTCCTTGATGTTGGTGCTGACGCTCGTCTTCTGCAGCGCGCGGCCCATCTGCTCGGCGACGCCCATGAAGCGGTGGCCGAAGATGGACAGCTGGATCGGGTCGACCGTCGTCGCAGACATGGTCTCCTTGGTCCCGACCTTGACGTCGATGACGACGTTCTCCGAGAGCACCGTCGCCGCGGCGTCGGGGATGACGACGATGGTCTGCTTGTCGTCCATGATGAGCGCGGGGCCGGTGACGCGCGAGTGCGGCGCCAGCGTGGCGAGGCCGTACACCGGCGTGTCAGCCCATCCAAGCCCCTTGAAGTAGACCTTCTTCGTGGTCTTGGCCGCGGGCGCCGGGACGGCCTTCTGCGCGGCGAGCTCGGCCGGCCAGGGGGTGGGCAGCTTGACGGTCGTGCGGCCGATGGCGCGCACGCGGTAGTCGTCGATGATGACGTCTCTGCCGACGGGGAGGAAGCCGAACTGCTTCTGGTGCGCGGCTCTGAAGGCCTCGAGGTAGCCGCCGGCCGCGGTCTCCTGGATCATGAGCGGGGTGTCGCTGCCGTGGAAGCGCATGTTGAGGTAGCGCTCGGCGTCGATGCGGGCCTCGGGGATACGCTGCATGAGGAGCATGTCGGAGGCCTTGGCGACGAGCTTGTCGAGCTCGGCGGCGAAGACGGGCAGATTGGCCTCGGAGTAGGTCAGGGCGCAGGGGGAGCGCTCCTCGTGGACGACGTCGGCGAGGGCCATGCCGTAGGCGGAGAGGACGGAGGAGTACTTGTGGACGAGGACGCGGGAGATGCCGAGGGTTTTGGCAATGTCGCAGGCGTGCTGGCCGCCGGCGCCGCCGAAGGAGGCGAGGTTGTGGAGGCCGGCGTCGTAGCCCTTTGCCTCTGTCAGGGTGCGGATTGGGCGGCACATAGACTCGTTGGCGACGTCGAGGAAGCTGAGGGTGGTTAGTATCGCTCTGGTGAAATAGGGAAGATGAAGAATTGCTTACCCTGCGGCAACCTCCTCTACACTAAGACTCGTGTTCTCGTCTTTGTTGATGCTGGCGGTGAGCTCCTCGAATAGACGCCTGCTGGCATCGACATCCAGGGGCAGGTCTTCATTGGGACCAAAGATCTTGGGGAAGAACTCGGGACGCAGACGGCCGAGGACGAGGTTTGCGTCCGTGACGGTAAGAGGACCGCCTTTGCGATAGCATGCCGGACCGGGGTGGGCTGAGGCGCTCTCAGGGCCGACCTTGAACATGCCACTTTGCCAGCTCAGGATACTGCCGCCGCCCGCTGCGACGGTGTTGATGTCCAGCTGTGGCGTCTGGACCATGACACCTGCAGTTGTCGTCTCGAATACTTGTTCGAGCTCGCCCGCATATCTAGATTCCTGTTAGAACTCGCTTGAATTAAGTAGATGTGTTGATGACATACCTCGAGACGTCGGTACTCGTACCACCCATATCAAACCCAATAACAGGAGTCTTGTCAAGCTCATCGTAGCACGTCCTTGCGTATCCAACCACACCACCAGCAGGGCCCGACAAGATCGCCCTCAAACCAGACAGGCCCGAGAACTCGACCAGACCGCCGTCACTCTGCATAAACTCGCAGCGGCACCCGCTCGTGCCCAGATCCTCGAACCCGGCCTCGAACCCGGCGATATACCGCTTGATCTCAGGCGTGAGGTAGGCGTCCGCCGTGGAAGAATTGCCGCGCGGCACGATCTTGACGACGGGGGAGAGCTCGGCGCTGGGGGAGATGTGGGTGAAGCCAATGTCGGCGGCGAGCTGGGCTATCGCGGCCTCGTGGTCGCGGAAGGTGTAGCTGTGCATGAGGCAGACGGCGATGGAGCGATAGCCTTCGTCGTAGGCTTCCTGGAGGGATTTCCTTGACGCCTCGAGGTCTGCGATGAAATCGTTAGGCAAGGGTTTCGGGTGAGTGTATGTCATGATTTACCTAAAGGCTCGAGAACACGGACGGCCTCGCCGGTGACGCCCTTGACGAGGGCGGGGTCTGAGTCGATGTCAATGGTCTCGGGCTTGTTGCTCTCTGACCACGCCTCGAGGGTCACTCGCTCTGGAATCTCAATGACCTTGGAGTATAGGACGTCGGGTTTGCGGATGGCGAGGTCGAAAAGTTTCGGTCTTGATTGGTTGCCGATGTGAAGCAGATCCTGCTTATGTGTTAGCATCGAAGACGAATGTTTTGGGCGAGTACGCTCACCCTGAGACCCTTTGTGACTGCGAATACTGTGCGCTCTCCTTTCCTCTCGAGGAGCGCATTTGTCGCGACTGTTGTGCCCATCTTGATAGATTCTGCACCTCATCAGTTGATGCCGCTACTAAACAGAGTCTCACGAAGTAGAACTCACCAACGCCTCTCAGCGAAATCTTCTTTCCCTTCGGGTACTCCTTGCCCGTCGCCTTCTCCAGCACTCTCCTGATGGCTTCGGCGGGGGCATCGGGGTAGTTGGCGGGATCGACGGAAAGCAGCTTGACGAGGATGTCATCTTGGCCGGGGACGGAGGCGACACACTGAATTGTCAGATTTTACTGGGTGTTGCGAAAAGCAGACGAGACTTACATCGGTGAAGGTGCCACCGCGGTCGATGGATATCCTGATACCCTCAACTGGACCTGGAAGAGAACCCATTTCGCCCTTGATTTGTGAGTTTGTGGTAAGTGGTGGTGCGTGGTTGTAGTGTAAATGAGGGTGTCGACGATGTCTTGAGAGGATAGACACTAGTACGCGCTTTGAAGAGATGGAAATGGCGATATCGAGATGAGGTTATCTCAATCGAAGTAGGACGTCGCGGTGATTATACCAGTCCCCCTCAACTGAGGTGCGGTATCTACAGCGCGCCCAAAGAGGCAATCCTCCGAGGCTCGCAGCCAAACTACCATCGGAGCTCCATCGGTGGGCTCTTCGGCGACCATGGACTTCTCCCCGGGCAAGACGTGCTCCGCAAATCCCATCACAAGGAGAGGGGAGGGGTTGTGGAGGCGGAGTGAGAGAGAGAGCTCCTCCCGCCTCATCTGAATCGCGATAAGAGGCTCTGGAGTGATGGGGGAAATGGGGAAATGCTACCCCTCCGAGAGGCCCTGAAGGGCGGTTGGTGTGGGTGGCGGGGTAGCGGGCCTTATCAGCTTCGGGAGGGGTGTCCGAGGGCGCTTTGGGTAGGTGGAGCTCCGCTCGGCGTCCGGCGTGTGGTTGTCGGCATCAACCTTGCCCGGGGGGATTACTTTGGATGCTTCTCAATTGGCCGTATGGTCATTTCGGGGGAGGTATGTTGACTTCATGGTGAGCGATGGAGATGATTACCATGAAAATTGAGTGAAAAGTCTTCAGATTGATATTCTATGTAATTCATGCGACGCTTCTAACAGTGTCATCAAGCGCCTTTGCAAAATACTCGACGTTCTTCTCGTTCAGCCCAGCAATCGAGATTCGTGATGTATCGGCCATGTAAACGTGATACTTTTCTGTTCCAATTGTCAGCAAACTGCTTTACCACTTCATGAACCATGGAAATCTCACCTTCGAGATGCTGCACCTGGGCCTTGCTGATGCCCGTGTACCCAAACATGCCGCTCTGCTTGACAATATGCGACCAGTCGCCCGGCGTCTGCAGCCGCACCAGCTCATCATACACCTTCTTCCGCATCGCCCGGATGCGGCCCGACATCGTGATCAAATCTTTAGCCCACTGCTCCCTGATCTCGGGGGTCCCCAGCACCTTGGCCGCGATGCGCGCGCCGAAGGCCGGCGGGTTCGACACCGTCGCGCGCTGCACGTTCTCCAGGATCGAGTTCACCGTCCTGGTAGTCTCTGCGGAATTCGCGACAAAGGTCACGGCGCCGATGCGCTCGCCGTACAGGCCCATGCTCTTGGCAAAGGACATGCAGACGGCGGCCTCGAGCCCGAGCTCGTCGACAAAGTATCGGATCGCCCAGGCGTCCTCGTCGACGTTGCCCGAGTTGAAGCCGAGGTACGCCGAGTCGAACACCGGGAACACGCCGCGCTCGATGATGACGGCGGCGATCTGCTTCCACTGCTCCTGGGAGGGGTCGCAGCCGGTCGGGTTGTGCGCGCAGGCGTGCAGGATGACGGCGGAGCCGGGCTCGGCGGCGCGGAGGGTGGCGATGTAGCCGTCAAAGTCGAAGGCGCGGTCCTTGTAGTAGGGCAGGGATTCCACGGCGAAGCCCATGGAGGCGAAGAGCAGGTCGTGGTTGGACCAGGTCGGGTCGGTGATGTAGATTGTCTTGATGCCCGTGTCGGCCTTCTTGAGCGCGAGGCCGGCGAGGAGGAGGGCGCCGGTGCCTGAGAGGGATTGGCATGATGCGACCTGTTTGGTGGTTGTCAGTGAAGGTTGATCTCGAGTTGTACAAGTGGCTGGTTTTACCCTGTTCTCTGCGTAGGCCTTGGTTGGGCCGAAGACGAGCTTGACGGCCTCGTCGCGGAACGGCTTGAATCCTGCGATGGGGAGGTACTCGTGGCCTGGCTCTCCGAGGGCTGCCTCAGCCGCTCTTACTGAAGGCAGGATCCAGGGCTGGCCATTCTCGTCGCGATATGTGCCCTGGCCGAGGTTCACCTTCTTGGGGTCCGTGTCGGCGAGGTAGCGTCTGGTCACGTCGAAGATGGCGTCGGGCGGGATGAATTGCGATCTCTCGAACGCCGAAGTCTGCTTGATTGAGCCCATTGTCACTGTGGTTTCTACTGCGATGAGATGTCGTTACGATGGAACAAGAGTCACAACACGGCCCAAATGAACGTCAATCACGATCGAGGGATGGCGGTTGTGATAGCAGGCCTTCCCATTTTCGGGACCCCAGCCGATTCGGAGACGAAAGCCGGTCAGTGAGGGCCGGCACCGGCGCTGGGCCATTTCGGATGAGGGGCCCGCGGGGTTCGTTGTCCACTTTCATGGATTGCGCCACGAGATAACTATCAAATGCTCCGAGGGCAACAGGAGTGAAGTCCGCGCTATCAACGTGATGGAGTAATGGATGGAGCAGGCGTCGGGAGAAATAAGAGCAGCTGGCCCTGATGTGCGTCTTGTGTGTTTGGGTGTTGGTAGAATCGTTGTGTGGTAGCTCACTCAGTACACACCAAACTCACATTTGAAATCACACATCCCCCCAAAAGAATAATGGCGCCCCGTTGTCCTCCCCGCGGCATCTACGCCCCCGTCGTGGCCTTCTTCCACGAGGACGAGACGCTCGACGTAGACGCGCTCAAGACGCACATCGAGCGGCTGTCCAAGTCGGGGGTGGCCGGACTCGTGATCCAGGGCTCCAACGGCGAGGCGCCGCATCTGCTCCACTCGGAGAGGCAGCAGGTCATCGCGACCGCGGCGGCGGTGCTCAAGCAGCACGGCCGCCCCGACGCCGTCATCATCGCCGGCTGCGGCGCCCAGAGCACCCGGGAGACCATCCAGCTGTGCAGCGAGGCCAAGGAGTCCGGCGCCGATTACGCCCTGGTGCTGTCGCCCAGCTACTGGAGTAAGTTTGCATCCATCGGAAGCTGATCCGTTGCGTGTGCCTCAGATATGCGCGCATGCATGATAATCGTTGCAGTCTGCTGACTCGGCATCCAGCCGGAGCGATGCAGAAGCCCGTCATCCAGAAATTCTTCGACGACGTCGCGACGGCCTCCCCCATCCCGATCCTGCTCTACAACTTCCCCGCCGTCACCTCCGGCATCGACCTCGACTCGGACCTGATCGCCGCGCTGGCGGCGTCCAACGACAAAATCGTCGGGTGCAAGCTGACGTGCGGCAACCTGGGCAAGCTGCATCGCGTCGCGCACGACGCCAAGATCCCGCAGCCGTTCGCCGCGTTCGCGGGCAAGTCGGACTTCTTCCTGCACGGCCTGGTCGCCGGCTCCAACGGCGTCATCGCGGCGGCCGCCAACTTCGTGCCCAAGGTGCACCTGCGGCTGCTGGAGCTGTACGACGCCGGCGAGCTGAAGCAGGCGCAGGAGCTGCAGACGAAGCTGAGCCAGGCAGACTGGGTGCTGGTGCAGTTGGGAGTTGCCGGGTTGAAGGCGGCTTTGGACAGGTATTTCGGGTACGGTGGTGGCAGGAGTAGACGGCCGCTTGGCATGGTTGCGAGCGCAAAGTTTGAGGGGGAGAAGGATGCGGTGCTGAAGGGTTTGGTTGAGTTGGAGACTTCGCTGTGAGTTTAGTTAAGCATGCAGTAAAATGATTTAATTGCGACCACCTAGCAAAATTGCATACAATCCCTATCAAAACATAAAACTGAAGGCCATGGCACGATTCCAATTGCATTGCTTTCTGTTCATCCCCCTATCTTTTCAACGTGGATGGCATCAATTTCAGAACCGTAGGGCAGTATTCCGACCCCGTTTTGTTTGCTTCTGTCATGATCATCGACCAAGTGCCCTCCAGCGTCGAAAGTGAGATAGGCTTTGGGCACCTGGCAATCGCTGAAGTCAACGCCGGCATAGGTAGAAGTTGTGGTGTCCACATGTTCTCCGTGCTCATGATGCGACGCGGTCAAGACTATCTTCATCCGCGGCAAGATTATATACTTGCTCGATGCGTCGGGATGGAATACGTCAAATGGTGCAACCTGCTCCGAGTCGTGGGGATCAACGAGACCGACCCCGATAAAGATGTCATCTGTCTAAGGCAACGTTAGTAAGGCACAGCGACCCAACATGGTCGACACACAAGGGACCTTCCTCACCTTTCGCATCATTGCGGATTGAGCGGTCGGTCCAGAACTCAAAACCATCCTTCACCTCCGTCCGTCGTCTGACCTTTTGTGAAAGTGTCGTCCCAGACCACGGCGCCATCCTCCATCTTGATCCCGAAAACGGACCCTCCCGGGCCCAGATGTATTTTTCGGAATTCCTGTGTGCTGATGCTGGAGGTATTTCCACTGGCCCTGCTGCCTTGAACAGCGAAGAAAGTGCCTTCTATCTTGAAGTTTGCCGTGCTAGAGCCGTCGGCCTGAGCCTCGATAGGCGGCGACAACTGGTACACCTGAGTAGCCCCCTCCTTAGGCGGTTCAGTGAGCGGCCTGGCCGAGAGCGAGAAGCGACAGCGCTGCCATTTGTTTTTGACCTGAATAGTGTAGATATGGGAAGCCATGGCATTCGTCCACCTGTACCGAATATCTTGGATGATATTTGAAGGGTCATGTCCATTTCTGCTCTTTTTATTCTTTCCCAAATGCCCCTTGCATGCCAGCTGAATGGCAGCCTTGAAGTCCCAGCCAGCCACATTCTTCAGCTTGCTGTAAAACTAGTAATATCACGGAAATCACGGCCAATGGACTTGGAGCACGATATAAATGATGATTATGTTATATCATCAGAACAAGGTGAATGGGTGTGTTGCATGTATCGACATCGGCGTACTAATGTCACGTCGCTTCAAAAGCTCCGCCTTCCCGGCTCCGGCGACACCAACTTTGAGCCTGCTCAACCTGCCTCGACTCTAACCAACTCCAGCCTCTGAAGCCAAAATGTCTCACCGCAGATCTCATCTCAATGCGTCCTCTTGCTCCAATACCGTAAGACGCCCGGCTAGGGTGCGCTAGGCCGCTTAAGCTTACTGCGTAGCACTGGGCTGGCACACCAAGACCATCCTTATCCGCTCCCTGTCGGGGTGGCATGTGAGCCGTTTGGTGTAAGCCCATTGGACAAGACCGACCAGGGGTGGCTGATGGTGCTAACTCATCGCCTGAAGTTGTGGGAAGACATCATCTTAGGTATCTTAGGCACCTTAGGTAGGGTGAGGTTGCTGGCTGTTCCCAGTTGTCTATCTTGTCTCCGACGTATTCCTAATTGTTAGCTAGACCTGGGAACATGAAGTTGTCCTGACAAGTCTGGCTTCATTGCATCCTGCTTTCCAGTATTCATCTAGTTCAAATCGCACAGTCAGTCTCATAGAATCTACTCTCGTTGATCCAATGGCGCGTCCCCCGCCTGATCGGCACCGGCGCATGCACAACGGCCGTGACAGAGCTCCTTGCGGCAGCTGAAGCCGATTGCGGCGTTCGCCATTGAGCGACATAGTGTCAGTCGGTTCATTTCATTGGCTGAAGCTGGTGATAACGAAGCCGTCCACCAACCCCGCATCGGCTGCATCTGCATCTGGTGTCTCTTTCTTCCGCCTACTTGGCCCGTCCAATGGTCTCTCCTCCGCTTCATCACCAACCCTCCATCTTGCGCCTTATCATCAGAGGCACCTCATTGCACCCTCACCCAGCTAAGGTAGACTGCTGTCGTGCTACCTCGACTTGCTTACTTCACCCTGGACTGTCAATCATCTGCCACGTTCTCCACCCCACCTGCTGCAAACACTTTAGACTGTCGATGCACCTCCGACGCCATTCGGGATGGTGCCCCTCCATCCCATCGCCAACCAGCAGCCAAGCTCTGTCAGGACGGCAGCTTTGCGAACCAGGCTCTCGATACCGCGACCAACACCAGCTGGTACCATGACTCGGACGATGGTGCTGGCTAACGAGCACGTCATTGTACCACCTACTTCGCCCATCAGGATAAGCGTCCCGATGGCACTCTGCGAACCATTGGAGGAGGTGAAGGTGAAGGCTTGCGACCCGTCTAGGAACATGTCAGCCCAGATCTCTCTCACCGTCTTAGCCTGCCGCCGCAAAGCTGCATGCAAGTCGAGCATTCTTTGTTCCTCGGGTCCTCGGGCGCCTGCGCAAGGTGTTCTGGGTAGTCCTCATTTATACATCATGCTGCCCTCCAGCACCGTCCGCCCAGAGCTTGCCTCCTCGTTGTCACAAACACTTGTCGCAACCTAATCGTCTGTTCAAGTCGATAGTCTTGATCGCAGACTCCTGCGATCACCCAAATCTCGGCTTCAGGATGTACACCCCGTCGGTGGTCGCCTTCACGGCGGCCCTCTTGGCGACGGCGACAGCTCAATCCTCCAATCCTACAGTATGGGCTTCGGTCGCCCTCATGATGCACGGCGAGCGTACGCCTCTACGCAGCGAACTCTCCGACGTCTTGACTCCCCGAGGAGCCCAACAACTGTATGCCCAAGGAAACGCATTTAGGACTCGCTACCTCTCTGGCATCACCCCCACCAACTCGTCCGAGAGCCGGGTCACCTCCCGCGCCCCAATCCGAGACATTGCCCCCAATGTTGTCGACCACGCCCAGCTCCATATCCTCTCGGTCCCTGATGCGCACGTTGTTGCCGGCGCGCAGGCATTCATGCAGGCGCTCTACCCGCCCATCAGTCACACATTCTCGGTAGACACTGGCGGATCAAATGTTTCGTTCTCGACGACTTCAGGGAACTACACCGAGTACCCTCTGGACGGCTACCAATACCCTGTCATCCAGACTGCTGGCTACTTGGACCAGAGGTCAATTGGGTGAGTGGTTGACTGTGCTCCAAAGCACACTCGTAAGATTAACATCGAACCCTACACAAAGCCTCCGAGGCAACACAGAGTGCACGCAATGGCAGGTCTCGACGCAGGTCGACATGACGCGCGACCCAGACATGCTCAAGCTCTACAACTCTACCAAAGCCAAGTACCAGTCCTTCTTCACCACCCCACCCCTCAACGACGGCGTCTACTCCCTCGCAAACGCCAACTTCTGGGACGCCTACAACATCTGGGACTACATCCGCTACCGCTACTCGCACGAAGAGGCCGTCTACAACGCCCTGATGGACGCCTACGTCAAGGACGGCCAGTTCCTCCAGGTCTACAGCAGACAGCAGCAGCTGGCCCTGTACTCGGACCAGAAGCCTTCCGGCCTGGCCAAGGGCGACATGATCCGGACGGTGGCCGGTATGTCGTTCGCCAAGCAGGTTGTGGACGCGCTCAAAGCCAACGGCAACTTTGGCGGTTACTCGCGCAAGCTGACGCTGCTCTTCAGCTCCCAAGAGCCCTTCCTGTCCTTCTTCTCCCTCGCCCAGCTCCAGCAGGGCAACACGTCGCTCTCCAGCCCCTTCTGGAACGTCCCCGAGCCCGGCGCCGCCATGGTCTTCGAGCTGATCGGCGACGAGCCCGGCCGCCCCGACTCCTACCCCAAGGACAGCAACCTCTACGTGCGGTTCCTGTACCGCAAGAATGCCGACCCGGGAACCGCCTTCGAGGAGTACGCCCTCTTCGGCTCACCCGCCGCCGAGCCGCGCGTGACTTTTAGCTATTTCAAGCAGGAGATGCTCAAGTTCGGCGTCGACGTGGCGACCTGGTGCAGCATGTGCGCGTCCTCGCAGCCCTTCTGCAGCGTGCGGAGCACCGAGGCGCCCACGATCGGCGCAACGACCCGCGCGGTCGTGAGGAAGCCATACGTCGCAGGAATAATCGGCGGAGCGATCGTGCTCGCCGTTCTCGGCCTCGTGGTCGCGGCGTTCGTCTTGGCCGGCTTCCGGATCCGGCGCATGGGCAAGGAGGACAACAAAGACGGCCACCAACCCGCAGCCAGCCTTGGCGGGTTCAAGGCTGCGGAGAAGATGGCCAGCGATCCCGATCTGTCCGTCTCCAAGCGCGGCGTTCCGCACGAAAGGCACGGGAGCTGGGAGCTGCGGGAGGGGAGGGATGTGGTGACGGGGGTTCATGGGGCGGGCATCAGCGTGGACAAGAGCAGCTCGGCCAGCAGCGTGCATAGCAAGGACCTGGATGATGATGGCGCGAGCGTGATGGGGGCGTCGCCGGTGACTCCGAGGGAGAGCGTCTGAGACACATTAGATTCGGAACATTCTGGCTTTCATTCATGATACCCATTGATCCTCTTCGTGACAACACTCGCTTGGACTCGGGGAGAAGCACTTACACCGGCATTGGAAGACTTGATCATTCGCTTGAAGCATCTGGAGCATATTTGAGAGAGACAGGCGAGTGAAGGAACTCCTTCATTATTACTTGTCCACATCCCAATCATGAATAGACAAGATCACCATCCACTTACACCTTGCACTGACTATGGCCTCACTCCTTCGCAACCCTCAACCGACACAACACCGCCTCATTCCTATCAACCATACTCCCCGGACTACACACCACCGTGAAATTATGCCAATCCCTCGCCGGATCCACGTCCAGCCCTTCCACGCCCTCGTACCGCTGCAGCATCCTCACAACCACATACCCCGCCTCCGTCAGCGCAAGCTGCTGCCCGATGCAGATCCGCGGACCGCCATTGAACGGCACAAAATGCCACGCCGCGCCCGCCGCGCCCCTCTTCGCCTCCCACCGCTCCGGCACGAACTCGTCCGCGTCGGGGCCCCACAGGTCCTTCCGCCGGTGCAGCACGTGCGTGCTGAAGTTGACCTCCGTCCCCGCGGCGACGAACACGGGGGATGTGCCGTCTACCCCGCCGCCGCAGGGGAGCGTCGTGTCGACTAGGGCGCGGCGCGAGTTGAAGGGTACGACGGAGTGCAGGCGCAGCGTCTCCGAGAGGACATGCTGCAAATAGGTGCACTGCTTCAGGGTTGCGAAGGTCACCCTCTCCGCTGGGTCTTCCGAATAGGTGCCAAACGTGGAGAGCACCTCGGCGCGGAGCTTGGCGAAGACGCGCGGGGAGCGCAGCAGGCAGTACCACACCCAACTCATCAGACTCGCCGTGGTATCGCGGCCCGCGGCGAGGAGGCCGAGGACCTGCTCGCGGACCTCCGTGTCGTCGCCGTCGCAGCGCTCGCGGAGGACGGTGAGGAAGTCGTAGCGCGCGAGGGAGTCGCCGCGCTTCTGAGCGTCGTCGGAGGCGGCGATGGCGTCGTCGACGAAGGCGTGCAACGTCTTCACGCAGGACTGCAGCTCGGCGGTGCCGTAGGCCCAGTAGAAGCTGCGCAGGCGCATGCGGACGCCGAGGAGGGCCAGCATGCGCTCGAAGGCGTGGTGGAAGGCCATGCCCGGGTGGGCGTGGTCGTCGCGCAGGCGGGCGGCGAGGGTGGAGGTGCTCTGGCCGAGGAACAGCTCGGTGGCGGAGTCGAGGGTGAGCGAGGGGAGGAGGGAGGCGAGGCTGACGGGGGCTGTCCAGCCTGTCCCTTCGGAGAGCCCGCCGCGCTCGATGCAGCGGAAGAGCGTCTGGACATGGGCTTCGAGGAGATCCAGGCGGGAGACGTTGTCGCGGCTGAAAAGAGGGCGCATCATCTCCCTCGCGGAGCGCCAGGCGGGCCCGTCGGCGGCGAAGATGCTGCGGCCGAGGACGGCCTTGAGGTTCGTGCTGCGGGCGGCGCCCATGCCGAAGTCGGCGAACTGGGTGGCGAGCAGGGCCTGGACATTGCGCGGGTCGGCGGTGACGAGGTTGGTGGTGCCGAGGAGGGCGATGCGGAAGGTGTGGACGCCGAGGGCGGCGAAGCGGGCGGCGACGTGGTCGGGCGTGCGCTGCTCGCGGTCCGCGCGGAGGGAGGCGAGGACGGTGTCGATGCCGAGCGGGAGGGTGGTCGGTTCGAGGGGCGGTGGCTTGCAGGACAGGCGGCGGGCTTTCTGGGCGAGGAGGAGGGGGCGGAGGGCGGAGTTGAGGATGAGGACGGTGGCGAGGATGATGGGGAGGAGGAGGTAGGGGGAGAGGGTGGTGAAGCGGGTGGTCAGGGTGAAGGCGGCGTCGAGGAGGGGGTTTGGCGGCGCCATGATTGCGAGACGTTGGTGAGGATGTCTCGTCTCTGGCGATGGTGTTTCGGTGTTCTGGTGGTGAGGTCACGGTAAGAAGCTCATCTTCGCGTTAGGAGTGAAAACACCACGAGAGTGTCAGTGAATGCAGAGTTTGGCCATCATCGTGAGCTTCGGTGAGCTCCGGGCTCTCGCGGGATGACCCCACGACGGCTCATCTGTCGAGCTGTTTATTGGTCAAAGGGCCTACGTCACTGCCCCTCGTGAGCCCCCGAGCAACGTGCTTTCGACGAGGCTTGGCATTGGCTAAAGAGCTTGCAGGTCCGAAAGGGGCAAGGGAATCATGAAAAGACGGTCTCCATCGGGTCCATCCCGACGCGGGGGGCTGACGACCCGTCGTCTGGGGATGGGTATCCTTGGATGTGTGCTCCATGACTCGGGAGGACCACGCTGCTGGGAGTTGACAAGCATCAGGGGTCAAGGGTCAGAGGTCAGGGGTTCTCTGGATGTTGAACCCCTGGACAAGGACCCTGACTCGGGAGGTCGAAGGAGATGGGCGCGGCCAATGAGACAAGGGCAATTTGAAGGCAGCGGGCAGGTCGATCGATGCCGGCACGTTGTGGCATCATGGTCGTGTTTGTCAAGAAAGTTTCTAGGGTGTTCATGAAGGCCCGCGAATGGTTCGTCGGATGGTTTGCCACGTTTTGCAGAGTTTACGGGAACGAGGACAAGATAGACTTCCCGTCAATGGACAGGCAGAAAACTCAAAGAGACTAGGAGCACTTCATCGAATGATTGCATCTTTACTTTGGCACGTGGGCTTCATCAAGCATCAGATACCATCAAGCTGGTGTACATTACGCAAGATCCGTCTAAGCAGCCTGCTCGATGCCCTCTCTGGGACGCAGCTTAACCCACAGCGGCAGCTTCTCCCACATAATGTACGTTCCCTGCGGCGTCCACCAGTCTTCCGACAAATCGTTGGCCTCGAGGTCAAAGTACCACATCATCTTGGCGTACGCGAGGCTCATCTCGGCATACGCCATGCTGGATGCTGTCAGTTCACGGTCCAAGTTGTTGAGTGATGTAGACTTACGGCTTTCCAATGCAAATGCGCTGTCCGTAAGAAAACGGCTGCACGGCCACTCTGTCATCGTTGGCAAACTCGGAGCCGGGCGGCAGCTCAAGCCATCTCTCGGGCACAAAGTCCCCGGGGCGGTGGAAATTGTGCTTCGAATGCCCGGCGGCGAACTGGTTCACCGCAACCGCATACCCGCCAGGAACCCATTTACCCTCAATCACCTCCCCCTTCCCCGGCACCCAGCGTGGCAGCGAGCCCGGCGTGGGAGGATACAACCTCATCGCCTCGTTAATGCATGCGCGAAGGTACTTACAGTTCTGCGCCGAGACCATCGTGATCTCCTCCCTCGCCTTAAACGCGCCCCTCACCTCGGCCTTGAGCTTCGCGAGCTTGTCCGGGTTGTGCAGCAGAAAGTACGTCAGCCCAGACATGCCGCCGGCCGTGGTACCGCTGCCGGCGACGATGAAGGTGCCCGCGAGCATGACGAGCTCAAAGTTGGACAGCTTGACGCCGTCATCGTCGTTGTGGAGGATGTACGACATGAAGTCCTTGCCGGGGTTCTTGGCCGCGATGCGCTGGCGCACCTTGGCCTCCGTCATGGCGAGGTGCTTCTTGCGCGCTTCCGTGACGCGGCGCGGGGTGACCCAGGTGAGGAAGTCGAAGAAGCCGTACTGCACGGCGAGCTGGATCCAGACGTAGGCGGTGGCGCGGCCCATGATGGCGCGGATCCAGGGCTGGTCGGCGTTGTCGAGGGCTCCTGCGGGAATGCCAAAGGCGAGGTCTGTCATGGATCAGTATCCTATCGGCCCTGTTCGTGAGATTTCAACTCACCAGAGACGATATCGAACGCAAGCAAGTTAAACCACGTCGACGTATCCACCGGCCCCTCCTTGCACCTCTTCATGAGCTGCCTCACCATGTTATCCGAGTGGTTCTGGAAGTAGTACTCCTGCTCGCGCAGCGCCTTCTCCGAGAAGGCCGGGTTGATCGCCCTGCGCAGCCTCGCGTGCCGCTCCTGGGTCTCCGTCATGAGCGTCTTGTGGCCGTTGAGCTTCGCGGGGGCGATGCCGCGGCCGTCAAGCGCCTTGGGGAACTCGGGGCTGCGCTGGCCGTAGATCTTCTTCCACGCCGCGCCGGACGTGTACGACAGCTCGTCGGGCGCGATGCGCACCACGGGGCCGTACTGCTCGTGCAGCTCGCGGATCTTCCAGGTCATGCGGCCCTTCATGTTGACGTAGTTCCATGGCAGGCGGGAGATGGCCCAAAGCTTGGGGCCCGGGTAGTGGCGGAGGGGGCTGAGGTAGAGGTAGTAGAAGGACCTGCAGGCGACGTAGCAGAAGATCTGGAAAGAGAAGTTAGAGATTTGGTGATGGTATTTGCAGCAGGATGACTTACAAGACACCAGAAGCTGAGGAAGATGTTGGTGAACGTCAAAGCTGGGAGTCTGCTCAGATGAGCAGCAAGCTGCTCGGGAATCTCTATCTTCACCATGATGGGTTACAGTCGCCGGATTGACCAAGAATGACGACTTCTCGATCTCAGTCTCAACGAGCGCAGCTTCAATGGCAAGTTTAGAAAGCCAGACAGCTACAGAGACTCGGTTCTGAATCTCCTCCCAAGAACGCGTGGGCCAAGCTGGAAGTTCTTCGGAGCTCTCCCCGTAATGACACGCCCCATGGCATTCTCCAACAAGACGTGAAGCACAGACAGCTGGCCCCCAGCAAGGATCATGATCAACTCCGAAGACCATCTGCCAATGACGTGACGAAACCACGGCACGTTCCTGGCGCCCCGCATAGATGGGTTCGAGAAGGAACACGATAACGAGTCCCTCTCAAAAGTTCGCCAACCCGGCGGTGCATACGCGGATTGGTGACTGGGGAGACCCTGACTGCCATCACCATACCCCTGAATGCCGGCCGATTTGATCCAAATATGGGGTGTTTAGCTGCACGAGAAAAGCTTATTCTACCGGCAATCCCTGAAGAGACCCGTCGCGCGGTGCACGAGTCAATGCTTGTTTGGAAAACAAGCTCACCAACCCCGTGCTTGGCTGTTCAAGTACCGAGCCGCCGTTCGTGAAGGATCAAGAAGCTCATTGGCTGCAGATGGCACCACGTGCGGTCTGAGATCTTCATGAGGGCGTTCAAGCTGATACCTCTGGGGAGTTATTCTGCCGTTGAGGACTCCGCCCCAAGGGACCCTGGTCCCCAGACAGGGGACGTTTGGCTGTGGGGTCTGCAAGCTCAGGGTAGCTGTTCACGATAGCTAACATGTTGCGGAACACAGTGGGGAGCTCAGGGTAGGAGACATGTGACGTCGCCGAGGTCGGTCTCTGAGCTCCCTCCAGCGCGGTGTTGGAGTGCGTTCTCGATAGCTTCATCATCGCTCTGGCACTTTGTGAACGCCAAGAAAAGATCTCAAGATGACCACCGCGGCAGACAGAGAGAGAATCCAGCAAGAGCTGGTGCCGAAGCTTAGTGCTGAAGCGATCCTCCACTGGCCTGAATCTGACGGGTTCAACAAGTCGAACTTGCGGTTCACTGACTATGAGCGGCCGGTAAGACAAAAAGCTCCGCCTTTTGATCGAGAAGAACGGCTAACGTGAGCATTCAAGACTTACCTGGTGTCCATCTCACCAGGTTGTGACGACGATGTGATCGAGATCGTCAAGTACGCGAAAAGCAAGGGCGTTCCCTTTGCCCCGCGTTCCGGACACCATGCCGTCACGACGACGATGCGACATCTCAAAAACGGCATCCTGATCGACATGCGATCGTTGAACAAGCTCAGCTTCGATGCCGAGAATCGACAAGTCACGGTAGGAGGTGGTGTGATCACAGACGATTTCGTCAAGTTCCTTCAGTCTGTTGGGATGGAAGTTAGTGAGTAGTCTCGCTTGTCTCGATTGAAGGTTGTTCAGTCTCGTTGACGCCGCAAAGACGTGGGATCTTGCCCGACAACGGGCGTCATTGGCGTAGCTTTTGGGGCCGGACTGGGTCGGCTCCAGGGCAAGTACGGTTTCTTGCACGACAACATGGTGTCTTGCAAGATAGTCCTCGCCGATGGTAGTGTCGTGGTGGTCTCACAAGAGACAAATCCCGATTTGTTCTGGGCCATCCGTGGCGCCGGTCACAACTTTGGTATTGCGCTGGAGGCAACGTTCCGCGTTTACCCGCAGGCGAATAAGGGTATTCACTACACCTGGGATTTAGAGTACACTGTCGACCAGTGCGACGCTGTCTTTGAGACGCTGAACAGTGTTCATGAGGAAATGCCAGCCGAGCTGGCCATCTTCATCTTGTGGATTCGGCAGTCTGATGGCGGCAGAAAGGTGAGAATCCGTCTTACACCGGTCTTGGACGGTTGCTGACTTTCTGGACTAGCATCACATTCTCGTCAACCTTGTCTGGTCCGGAAACGAAGCCGACGCAGATCCCTGGGTCGCCCGATTCGAAAAGCTCGATCCCGTGCTGAACAGCGGCAAGGTCACGACCGATTGGGCAGACCTCCCTTGGACAACATACAAAGGACAGAATAAGATCCTCAGCAAGCCCGAAGTCTGGTCTCTGGCCCCGAACAAGATGATGGGCGCCGCCTGCGTTGAGAAGTTCGATCTCAAAACCACCAAGGCCTTCTTCGAGACCGTCAAGTCTATGAACGAGGAGTGGGCTGGGAAGGGCTTTTTCGGAGCCATGTTTGAGTGTCTGCCGCACCAGAAGGTCAGGGAGCTTCCGGATGAGGCGACGGCTTTCCCCTGGCGTTGGGGATCGAACCATTTCTTGTGAGTTGCAACTATACTAGTGGGCATGTTAGGCCGAAAGAGAAGTAACTGACAGTGCTTGGGACAGAATGTTGATGGCAACCCCGATCAAACTGGAGAACAGAGAACCATTCGAAGCTCATCTCGACAAGTGGAAGAAGGAATTCATCGCCACTTCCGGATACGGCCGACTACAGCAATACGTCAATTATGGCAACACAACATCTACGATGAAGGATCCCGCAGAGGCGTTGTACGGTTACGAGCCCTGGAGGTTGGAGAAGTTGCGAGCGTTGAAGAAGATTTACGATCCCGATAATGTGTTTCGCTGGTACCAGCCATTGGTGGAATAATGCGTTCCGTTCAGAAGTTCAGAGATTGAGTTTCTTTGGTAATTGAATAGAGTTTTGAATACCACATGGCATAGATATTATTCGCCTTATGCAAATTGCAAACGTCACAAAGACTACACAATTCCCTTTGATTCTTTCGCTATTTGGCAGTGTTTGGAGGGTCTAACTTTCTGAACATAGTCTCTTGAACTCACTCGTAATTCAACGTCAAATGCCACAGCAAATCCATTCCCAACATCCACAGACGGCCTCGGTGTTTTCGAGAATTGCGAAATCGGACTGGAAGCTATCTCTCCACCGCCAGGGGTGCCATGTTCCGATCTCCCCCGCGAGCAAACACAGCAGCGGGCGGGAGCCGACGAGAGACGCGTCACAAACGAGAAAGCAATGCCGGCGGCAATGCAGCCTCTATGAACATCGCTACTGGAGGACAACGATAGAAATCCCCCACGTGCTCACGAGAACCGGAATGTCTTATTACCATGGTGTCGGGTCTTCGCCAATCGTTCCAGCAATAGTAGGGGGTGTGTTAAGGTCCCGAGTCATTGCTGTGTATCACGGCCCCGCAAGCAATATCAAGAACCTCGCAGACCCATCCGGAAGAGCCCCAGTTCAACGGCACAGCTAGGGCCCCTCAACCACTTTGGCAGTCGACTTTTCCACAATGGAGACGATCCATTCTCAAACGTCCCCCGGATTTGAACCGCTCTTGGCAGGACCCTGACCGATCGGGCTGTGGAACGGGTATCGCCAAGAGTCCGGGAGTTACTCCGGTGTGTCGGTCTGTCACCGCTACGACGCAGGCCCCCATAGGAGAGCTGCTCATTTTCGTAGAACGTGCTTGGAAAATCTGCTCGCATTGGATTGCCACTTGAACCCGTTGATTTTGATGGAGCAGCGGGAGCCGGATCTCTGGAGAAGATGTCGCGTTTTGGAAACTTGAGCCGTTATCAGGACATGGGGGTCAAGATCTTTAGCACACGGAATCTGATGGATCAATCGCGCGGAAAGCTCCGAGTTGAGCACGCAGAGATGTTGATGAGAAGATATCTTGCCCATATGCCCTTCAAAATCTGTTTCCTCGTCTTTGGACCTTCTCTAGCCACCTTGCCTCCCACGCTGCCCTTCCCAACACCCCCAAAGATACCCAATAGTCGTCTTCGTTTGTAATAGTCCTTCTCTTTCCCTCACAATCAACCATTCATCATGCCTTTCATCCAAGAGGCCACTGGTCAGGCCGACCCCACCAGCCAGCCGATTGCCATCATCGGTATTGGCCTGAGAGCTCCCGGCGATGCTTCTGACCCGGAGAAGTTCTGGCAGATGCTCGTTGATGCGCGCTCTGCACGTTCCGAGATCCCCAAGGACCGCTACAATGTTGACGGCTTCTACCACCCCGACCCCGAGAGGCTGGGCAGCATCCAGCCCAGGTGAGTGGCTTCCGTCAGCAATGCAGGTCACGCGACACTATACTCATCGCTTTTGCCAGGCACGCACACTTCCTCAAGCAAGACTTCAAGGTCTTTGACGCCCCATTCTTCTCCGTCACACCCAAAGAGGCCAAGGCCATGGACCCCACACATCGCATGCTTTTGGAAGCCACCTACGAAGGCTTCGAGAATGGTATTCCGAGCAAAAGACTCGATACATATGATCTTGCGCTGACATCTTCGCAGCTGGACTGAGACTGGAAGATGTCTCAGGAACACAAACTTCGTGCTACATCGGTACCTTTACCGGTGACTTTCCTAACCTGCAAGCCCGTGATAACGAGGGACCATCCATCTACCGTGAGACATCCATATCTATTGTATGAAGAGTGAAAACTGACATAGCTTAGACGCTACTGGACTGTCTTCCTCCCTGGCCTCAAATCGCCTGTCATGGTTCTACAACCTGAGAGGACCTTCTATGACTATCGATACTGCTTGCTCTTCAAGTTTGACAGCCTTCCATCTGGCTTGCCAGAGTATTCGTACTGGAGAGGCGGAAATGGTAAGTTGGCATCGAGATCGTGTATCATGTATTCACTAACATCTTGACCACAGAGTGTCGTCGCCGGCGCCAACCTTATGTTCGGCCCGGACATGTCTATTCTCCTCGGTGCCGCCAAGATTCTCTCCCCCGAGGGAAAGTCCAAGATGTGGGACGCCAACGCCAACGGTTTCGCCCGTGGTGAAGGTTTCGGCGTCACCATACTGAAGCCCCTCGACGCTGCCCTCCGCGACGGCGACACCGTCCGTGCCGTCGTGTTGGCGTCGGCAGCCAACGAGGACGGCAGGACACCTGGTATCTCTCTGCCCAACAGCGAGGCCCAGCAGGCTCTTATCCGCACGGCGTATCGCAACGCTGGCGTTGACCCGGCGGAGACGGGCTATGTCGAGGCCCACGGCACCGGTACCCAGGCTGGTGACCCGTTGGAGGCGCGCGCCATCCTGAACACCATCGGCGACCAGCCCGGCCGCAAGTCTGAGCTCTATGTGGGTTCAGTCAAGACCAACATCGGACACTTGGAGGGTGCTGCTGGTGTCGCCGGTGTCATCAAGGCTGCTCTTGCCATCGAGAGGGGTCTCATTCCCCAGAACCTTTGGTAAGTCTCTACGATACAATACTTAGGTTAGATCTAACCAGAATCACAGGTTCGAGGAGCTCAACCCCCAGATCGAGCTTCCTGATAAGGTCAAGATTCCCCAGACTCTGACAGTCTGGCCCAGCACTGGCCCTCGCAGAGCCAGCATCAACTCCTTCGGATTTGGAGGTGCCAACGCTCACGTTATTCTCGAGGACGCTGCTTCTTACCTCTTCCGCCATGGCCTCCCCGGACGTCACGCCACCGTCTCTCGCCCTCTCCTCCCCAAGTCTTCCACCTCTGACGACGGTACCGGAAGCACCGCCAGCGAGACAGAGCCCACTCCCAAGCTCATTGTCCTTTCTTCCAACGACCAAGAGGGTGTCAAGCGCAACGTCGAGCGTCTCAGTGAATATCTCGAGACGAAGACTTCAACATCATCCACCTACATGAACGACCTCGCTTACACCATGGCTTCCAAGAGAACCGCTCTGCCGTGGAAGTCTTTCGCCATTGCCTCCGACGTTGCCACTCTACAGGAGAACTTGGACACCATTCCCGCCGTCATTCGCTCTTCAAACTCCACTGTTCCCCGTGTCGCCTTTGTCTTCACCGGCCAAGGTGCCCAGTACTTCAAGATGGGCAAGGGTCTGTCCGTCTATAAGGTGTTCCGCGACAGTATGCTCCGCTCCGAGACCGCCCTGAAGGCTCTCGGATGCACATGGAACCTGACTGAGGAGCTCAGCCGCCCCGAGGCCGAGTGCAACCTACGCTTCGCTGATTACAGTCAGCCCGCCTGCACTGCTCTGCAGGTTGCGCTTGTTGACCTCATGAAGTCTTGGGGAGTTTTGCCTGTTGCTGTCGTGGGTCATTCTAGTGGTGAGATCGCTGCTGCGTACTGCGCTGGTTACATCGACCATGAGGCCGCCGTCAAGATCGCCTGGTTGAGAGGTCAGGTTTCCAAGACTGTATCCCAGGAGGGTGGCATGTTGGCTGTCTCTACTAGTGCCGAGAGCATCACCGAGCATCTCGAGTCTCTCAAGAATGGCAAGGCTATTGTGGGCTGCTTCAACAGTCCCAAGTCGTGCACCGTGTCTGGTGATGGCACCGCCATCGACGAATTGCAGGAGGCTCTGAAGGAGGCTCAGATTCCCTGCACGCGTCTGGGCATCGACGTTGCCTACCACTCTTTCCACATGGAGGCTGCCAGACAAGCCTACGAGTCTGCTCTCGCTGGCATTCCCCACAGCTCCTCTGATATCCCTCTCTTCTCTTCCGTTACGGGCGAGGTCGTTGAGCCTGAGCAGATGAAGCCTTCTTACTGGGTTGACAACCTGGTCTCCCCCGTCAACTTCGTCGGCGCCGTTCGCTCGCTGTTGCACCATACCCAGGGCAAGACCAAGTCTCACGACAGATCGGCTTTCGCCAGCGTCTTCGTCGAGCTTGGTCCTCACTCTGCTTTGAGAAGCTACCTCCTTGACACCTTCGCTACCGAGGACCGCTTCTCTGATTTGTCTTATGCCACCGTTCTCAGACGCAAGTTTGACGGTGTCCAGACTGCTCTGGAAGCCGCTGGTCAGCTCTGGGCCAAGGGATGTGTCGTTGATGTCAACAGAGTCAACGAAATCAGCGACAGTCCCAACATGCTGGTCGATCTTCCTCCTTATGCCTGGAACCACACACGTGCCTTCTGGGACGAGTCGTACCTCAGCCGGGAGTACAGACTCAGGGAGAAGCCCCGTACCGATCTTCTCGGTTATCGCATCCCCGGCACTCCCGATCCTACCTGGCGCAACTTCCTTCGTTGCAATGAGAACCCGTGGATCCGCGAGCACAAGGTGCAGGGTGACATTCTCTACCCCGGTGCTGGTATCGTGGTCATGGCCATTGAGGCGGCTCGCCAGCTTGCTGAGGAGCACGCTGAGGAGGAGGTCTTCGGATACGAACTCCGCGATGTTGCCATCGACACTGCTCTCAGAGTGCCTGACACCGACAAGGGTATCGAGGTCATGATTCAGCTGCACCCCCGACGCACTGGGACCAAGGCCGGTCCCTCCGCCACTCTCAACGAGTTCGCCGTCTCCTCTTGGTCCGAGGAGATCAAAGAGTGGACGGTCCACGCCCGCGGTCTGGTCTCTGTCACTTACAAGTCTTCTTTGTCTCCCGCCATGCAGCGCGAGCTGGCCCTTGAGAACGAGCGCTACTCCAAGTCCTTCGCCGACGCCAAGGAGATCTGCCAGAAGCCTGCCCGCAGCTTCCTCTACGACACCGTCGAGACCATTGGCATGCAGTACGGCCCGACTTTCCGCAACATGACTGAGCTGTTCGCCGGTCCCAACTCCAGCTACGGTGTTATCAGCGTTCCTGATACCAAGGCCGTCATGCCCAAGGGCTTCGAGTACCCTTCTGTCGTCCACCCGGCTACTCTCGACTCCGTCCTTCACCTGCTGTTCCCTTCCATCAGCGGAGAGGACCAGTCCCTCAGCGAGGCCGTTGTTCCTTTCTCCTTCGACCGCATCTTCGTGTCCGCCAAGCTTTCTTCCGTACCCGGAACCAAGCTGCATGGTTGCTCCACTGCCCAGAAGACCAGCTACACCACCTGGAAGTCTTCCATCACCATCTCCGAGGACCAGTCGGAGCCCATGATCATCATGGACGGCGTCTCTTTGGCGTCGGTCGGTGAGGGAGAGGCGTCTCAGTCCCAGGAGACCAGGGCTTCTTGCTTTGGTCAGTATTGGCACGAGGATGCCGATCTTCTTGAGCCTACTCAGATCAAGGAGCTTGTCTACAAGCGCACGCTCAAGAGCAAGGACGACGACTCTGTGCTTGACAAGCTTGAGTATGTCTGCTTGGTCTACATCTACCGCTGTCTCGCATGGCTGGAGAGCGAAGATGGCAAGGCTCACGTTCCCCAAGACGGATTCTGGAAGCTCTACGTCGAGTGGATGCACGATACCATTAAGCAGTTCCCTCCTCTGTCGGAGAACGAGGCCGAGGTTGAAGCTGAGATGGAGGCTTGCCGCAAGAGAATCGTTCTCTCTGACAGTGGCGACATTACTGTCCAGATGGTTGACCGCATCGGTCAGAATTTGGGACGCATCTTCTCCCACGAGGTCGAGCCCCTCCAGGTCATGACTGAGGGCGACCTCCTCTATACGTTCTACCGTGGCGCTTTCGGTACCAGCTTCAACACCAACGTTGCCGAGTACGTTGGCCTTATTGCCGACAAGAGCCCTGGACTGAAGATCCTGGAGATCGGTGCCGGCACGGGTGGTACTACATACCACGTCCTCGAGCGTCTTCGCAATGCCGACGGATCTTCCAAGGCGTCCAAGTATACTTTCACGGATATCTCTCCCGGTTTCCTCGCCAAGGCTGCCGACCGTTTCTCTACCGATGCCTCTATCATGGAGTTCACTACCCTGAACATCGAGAACGAGCCCACCGAGCAGGGTTTCACCCATGAGACATACGACCTCATTGTCTGCGCCAACGTTCTCCACGCCACCAAGAGCATCCAGGAGACTCTTGATCACTGCAAGTCTCTGTTGAAGCCTGGTGGTCGCCTCGTTCTGTCTGAGGTTACCATCAAGCGCATTTTCTCCGGCTTCATCATGGGTCCTTTGCCGGGATGGTGGCTTGGAGAGGAGGACCACCGCAAGGGAGGTCCTCTTCTTGATGTTGACGAGTGGCAGACCGCTCTCAAGCTGGCTGGATTCTCCGGTGTTGATGTTGACATCCGCGGTGACCGTGAGGCTTCCAAGGAGCCCGTCTCCCTGATCATCTCCACCAAGCCTGCCAAGGAGGTCGCTGGTCCTTCTGAGTTCGTTGTCATCAGCACTGGCTCCGAGAGCTCTGACAAGCTTGCCGGAGCGATCCAAGCCCAATTTGCTAGTGCTGGCCAGAGCATCTCTGTCGCTCAGTGGAGCACCATTACCGAGGAGCAAGTCTCCGGAAAGTACTGCCTGTCCCTCGCTGAGTGGGAGAGCCCCATTCTTGCCACTCTCACCGATGAGAACTGGGAGAAGCTTCGCCAAGTCATCTTGAGCTCTGCTGGAACTCTCTGGATCACTGGTGGCGCAGCCATGGACTGTCCCGACCCGATGAAGTCTCTGATGGTCGGTCTCGCCAGAGCCATTCGCAACGAAGACGCCGGTGTCCGCCTTGCTACCCTCGATCTTGAGACTGCTGATAAGATCACCGTCGAGAACGCTGCCAAGAACGTTTTCAAGGTTGCCTTCGAGCATGCCCGAGGCGACGGTTTCGACGGCGAGTACGCCGCTCGTGAGAGCCTCGTCTACGTTCCCCGCGTCGAAAGAACTCTCAAGGTTGATGGCTCCCTGCGCAAGTATGAGGCTAAGGGACAGCCTGAGCTTGTTTCTTTCAAGGGCTGTGGACGTCCTCTCAAGCTTACCATCAAGACCCCTGGTCTCCTCGACACCTTCCGATGGGAGGAGGATGAGACTTACTACCAGCCCATGCCTGAAGACTGGATTGAGATTGAGGTCAAGGCCGTCGGTCTCAACTTCAAGGATGTTCTCGTTGCTCTCGGCAACCTTGCTGAGAACAAGCTCGGTGTCGATGCCTCTGGTGTTGTTACCCGCGTCGGATCTGCTGTCACCGACTTCAAGGCTGGTGACCGTGTCATGACGGCTTCCTGCGACACTTTCGCCACTTACGTTCGTTTCCCTGCCAAGGGTGCCATCCCCGTCCCTGAGCATATGAGCTTCGAAGAGGCCGCTTCCATGCCCCTCATCTTCCTGACTGCCTACTACTCTCTCGTCACTGCTGGTGCGCTCTGCAAGGGCGAGAAAATCCTGATCCACGCTGCCGCCGGAGGTGTCGGTCAGGCTGCCATCATGATCGCCCAGCAGAAGGGAGCCGAGATCTTCGCAACCGTCGGCCCTGAAGAAAAGAAGCAACTCATTATGGAGCAGTACGGGATCCCTGAGGACCACATCTTCAGCAGTCGTGACACCAGCTTCGCCAAGGCCATCATGCGCGCAACTAACAACCAGGGTGTGGATGTTGTCCTCAACTCCCTCGCCGGCGAGGCTCTTCGTCTCTCCTGGCACTGCCTGGCCAAGTTTGGACGTTTCCTCGAAATTGGCAAGGCCGACCTCTTCGCCAACACCGGTCTCGATATGAAGCCCTTCCTCGACAACAAGAGTTACATTGGCGTCAACCTCCTCGACTTCGAGAACAACCCCACTCCCCGTGCCGTTGCTCTCTGGCAGGACACTGCCAAGCTCATCCACAACGGCTCCGTCAAGCCCATTGCCCCTATCCAGCTCTTTACCATGGCCGAGGTTGAGAAGGCTTTCCGCTACATGCAGGCGGGTAAACACATGGGTAAGGTCGTTGTGCGCGTTGACGATGCGGACATGGTTCCTGCTGTGCCTCGCACTCCTCGCGTTGACATCCAAGCTGATGCTACCTACGTCGTCTCCGGCGTTGGTGGTATCTGCAAGGAGATTGGCCGCTGGTTGGCCGAGAAGGGTGCCAAGCACTTGGTCCTTCTCTCTCGTTCTGCTGCCAGCAGTGAGGAGAACAAGGCCTTCGCTTCTGAGCTCCAGCGCGCTTACGAGGCCAACACCTACGCTTACGACTGCGATGTTGGTAACAAGGCTGCTCTTCAGCAGGTTCTGGCCGACCTCAAGTCTAAGAACGTTCCTGAAATCAAGGGATGCGTTACCGGTGCCATGGTCCTTCGTGTAAGTACACCTCAACTCTTCGTATCGTCATAGTTGACTAACACAGTCGCAGGATACCCTCTTTGACAAGATGACGGCGGACCATGTCCGAACCACCGTCGGCCCCAAGGTCCACGGCACCTGGAACCTCCACGAGCTGCTTCCTCGTGACCTCGACTTCTTCGTCATGCTCAGCTCTCTGGCTGGTGTCATGGGCCACCGCGGACAGGGCAACTACGGCTGCGGCAACATCTTCCAAGACTACTTCGCCTCCTACCGCCGTAGCCTGGGTCTGCGCGCCCTGACAATCGACATCGGCTACCTCCTCAGTGTCGGCTTCGTCGCTGAGCACGACGAATACGTCGACCACGTCAAGGCCATGGGTCTCAAGGTCATGCACAAGAGCGACCTCCACGGCCTCATGGCGACCGCCTTGGAGGGCACCGATGCCCACCCGCCCCAGGTCATGTGCGGTCTGCCCTTCAACGAACATGACGACGCCTGGTACTGGATCCAGGACCAGCGCTTCGCCGGCCTTCGCAAGACGGCTGCCGGTGCTGGTGCTGCCGGCGGGGCTGCGATCTCCCTGCGTGACGAGCTCTCGCGGTGCGGAAAGGTGGACGACGAGGCTGTGCACCTGATTACTTCTGCGCTGGTGCAGCGCTTGGCCAAGTTGATGATGATGCCCGAGGATGATGTCGATGCCGGCAAGCCCCTTAGCGCGTACGGTGTTGACAGTCTGGTTGCGGTTGAGGTGCGCAACTGGATTGCGAAGGAGGTGGCGGTGGAGGTCAGTGTGTTTGATATCATGGCGAATATCCCCATGAGACAGCTTGCTGCGGATTTGGCAGGCAAGAGCAAGCTCTTGGTTCAAGAGTCTTCATAATTTTGTTGAAATTGGCATAAGATAGGAGTTTGAGGCTTAGGACTTGGTTTGGTTTTCTTCCGCATTCGGTAGCGTCTTGCTTTGTTACGACGTCTGATATTAGTTTTCAAATGTTTATTTTCATTTGAAGTATAAGTTACAAGGAGAAGCTATTCTTGGAGATTGAATAAGTGTGAGTTGAGACAAATTCCCAATGTGACCTCTTCATAGGAACCTCATAGTGAAGGTTAGCTCTCATGAATCTCGATAAGTGATTGTTCGAGTCGGTCGTGATAGCACTCTTCGAAGTAGGTTTTTTCGCCATAGTAAGATTTCTCATGAATCGTGTCATTCGTAAGTGTCGGAGGCTCCCGACGTTTGTAGATGCTTCCATCTCAACTTTGGTGTTTCCTCGCCGTCTCTCACCTCCCGATGAACTCTCACCTCCAGGAACTGCAGGGAACCATAGAGTCAGGGGTGTCCTTGAAAATGGGGTTCTGTCAGAAAACTCCACAATCCAGGGCCTGGAGTGAGAGGTTCGTGAACAATCGCACATGACTCGTAGTCGCAAGACAAGGGCTCCTGGCTCTGAGCTCCCCCTGCAACTCGAAGCCATCACCTTTCACTTGTCCACGTGCTCAGCCCGCGAAAGTGCTGAAAGATAGCGGTTTCCGGAATTCCCCATGGAATTTTGATTGAAATGATTCAAAATCCCACCGGCACTCGTCCCCCATTTGGCTCGTCGTAAACCGCAGTCCCTTAAAGCGCCCGAGTGTGCCGCTATTCCGAGCCGTTCCAGTCAGTCTCTTGCGTTCGAAGGTTTTCGCAAACGTCACATCAAGCCCTTGCCGATCATGGCAACCAAATCTGATGCGCCGGCTCCGCAGCCGAAAGAGATGAAGGTGCTCTCACTGGGCATGACAAGGACGGGTAGGTCCAAGATCTCGTTTCCATGTAGCACTCAAGCTACCTTGGCTGACAAACATGGCAGGTTCTGCATCCATCACGCAAGCCCTCACGATACTGGGCTACGACGGTGTTCACCACGGCATCCAGGCTATCTCCTCCCCCCGCGAGTGGACTCTCTTCTCCGCCGCCGCAGACTCGACCTTCCCCACCCTGCCAACTTACACCGGCGCGCCCTTTCCCCGCGAAAGTTGGGATTCGCTCTTCGGTAAATACGAAGCCGTCACCGATATGGGCTCCTTCTTTGCCGTGCAGCTCATCCAGGCGTACCCAGAAGCGAAGGTCATCCTTGTCGAGCGGGACGTGGACAGCTGGTTCCAGAGCATGGATGAGGCCATCTTCAAGACGACATGGGGGTGGCGCGCGGATCTCATCATTGACTACCTTGGCCCCCGCTGGGGATTGGCGGGTGGACAAACCCTGAGGAAGATCCTTCTGGGATTCTACGGGGTACGCAACGTCAACGAGATGAGAGCCATCGCCAAGGAGAGGTACAAGAGGCACTATGCTGAGGTGCGTGCTGCGGTGCCGAAAGAGAGGTTATTGGAGTTCAACCTTAAGGAGGGCTGGGAGCCGCTGTGCAATTTCCTTGGCAAAGAGGTCCCAGAGGGAGTCGCGTTTCCCGTGGCGAACAAGAGACAGGAGCACCTTGATCGTGTGAGGACGAGGCAGAACCGCTTCTTCAAGCTGGCGATCTTCGTGGGTCTGCGAAAGACGTTGCCTTGGGTGTTGGGAGTTGGTGCTGTGGCGGCTGGTGTCTATTTGACCAAGCCAAAGTGGGCGTTGGATGTGTTCGAGAACGCCCTTAAGACTATCCAGACTCATCTGAGATCTCTGAACTTGTAATTGTGAATATCTAGTAATGATTTCTGCCTATAATGAGCATTTTATTGGCTTTAGAATGGTCTTGGTAGACAAATAACCACCATGTGTACATTCTATTCATGGAAGACAGAACAAGTTTCCAAACATTTTCAGCAATCAAATCTGAAGTCTAATCGCTTGTTTCCCCGATCGGCGTTGTTGATGAGATACTGCTGCTGCTCCTCAATTGACATGGCATTCCATTGTCGCTCCTTCTGTTTGTTCCTCCAAACATAGTATGCTTTCGTTAGGACATACAAGACATTGACTGCAACATTGATCGCAATGAGATTTTGGTTGCCTCTTGGGTACCACGGCGGGTTGTCATCCTTTCGGTAAATGTTTGAGGATGCTATGCCTGAGAGCTGCACCATGATGTTGTAGACCGCGGCGCTGACTGCCCGTGTGCGGACAGAGTTACTAATGCGAGAACACCAGCTCACCTGAGCTGCATGTACCGAAGGGGAGGCAAGCAGCATGAATAGTACGGCGTAGAGAGACCAATTTGAGAGACTTTGTGCTGAAGTATAGGTCACAACCAAGAACGGCAAAGACCAGAGTTGCGAGATCAGACCGAAGAGAGATATTTGGTGCTGGTGATGTTAGCTAAGTGGGAACTGGAAAAATGGGAGTGTACTTACGAAATATTCTGTCAGGAAGGTGATGCCCTGTTGTAAATATTGTCTTAGTCACGATACAAGAGATAGTAAAGTGTGTGGGATTGACAGGACTTACCAACATGGTGCAGCTAGCGGCGACTGTCACCGGGATATTGAGAAGGGTAGTAGTAAAACGATCGTAACCGATAGCTTTGAGAGAAAGGTTCAGTTACTGGCCGGGAGGATCCCCGGGCATTTGGAACAAGATTCCGATGGCATAGATCGGCCACAAGTCATAATCCTTCAGACTCTTCCACAGCATAGCAGGTGTAATCCCCTCTCTGTTGTGCATGTCGGCTTTCGAGGGATCGTCTCGCAGGACACGGTTGACAATGATCTTTTCTTCGCGCTCGGTAAAATATCCGGTCGATTTCCACCAGCTTTTTGTTTGGGTAGGTCCAGGTACCATGAAGAGAAAGCTCAAGAAACCAATCGTGACGCTGATTATGGCCTCTATCAGAAACAACCATCGCCAGCCCTCGCGACCTCCGACGCCTCGAAGGTTAAAGACACCGTAGGCGATGAAGGAGGCGATGACCGAGGACATTGAGTTGACGAACCAGAAGATGGCCAGCCTCATAGGCATCTCGCTGTTCTTATAGAAATATGAAAGATACAACAGTGCATCTGGAATGTAGCCTCCCATAGCTAGGCCGATGAAAAATCGGCAGGCGAAGAATGCCGCGCGGTTGGTCATGAAGAACTGGCCGCCGGAGGCAATACTCCAAAGGATGATTTGTGTCGGGATCCAGCGGTCCGTGCCAATCTTCTTTCCAATCATTTGTGAAGGCAACTCGGCAATCAGGAATCCGACGCGATACATGTTTTGCGCGTTGTTATAGTCGTTCGTGCTGATGCCGAGGTCGTCAACGAGACCGTCTGCTGTGGCGAGTCCAAGGTTTCCACGATCGATGTTAAGGGCGAAGAACATGACCAAAACCCAGATGAGGATGCGTATATCAACCTTTCATTGTTAGAGAAGAAGACGAATTTTTCGGTGTACGGTTTTGAATACCTTGCGGCGAACAGCTTGCTCCTCTCTGTGCGTCCATCTTTCATTTGGGTCAAAAGCACGGTAATTCTCGTATTCTGGTTTAGGGTGGTAGAATTGGGCCAGATCCGGGTTGTCAAAGACACTGCGCACAGTAGCAATAGCGTTTGGGTCGGCCTTTTGTCTTTTGTTACGAACAAATCCCCAACTCGTGTAGGTTTCTTGTTGAACAGGCGTTTCCGCGAGATCATCCGTCGGGACCTTTAGATCAGGAATGCCCGTCGAAACGACGTCTGGCTCCTTTTTCGAATCAATGCCAATGGACACCATATTTTTACGGCAAGAGAATAACATCTTGTTACTTTTGAAAGACTTCCAGCAGATCTTGCATCCTTTATTGAACTGGAAATCGACCGGTCAGGCTCCGACATTCGCTGCCAGTCTCGGGGCATTGGCTACCGAAATGATGAAAGACCCGCGAGATGTTAACCATAAAAGCTTTTAACTTTAGGCAAATGGGTCGATGGCACGCTAGACTATGCAACTGAACGGTCGAGTCGATCACACAATAGCACGCCATATGACGTCTAGCCAGTCATTGGCCGTTCCGGACCCCGGGAGCCGGGGGCTAGGCCGGAGCGATAAGAGCTATCGGTAAGCTCCACTTTGTCCGGCTCCGCTCCGGCTGCATGTCCTGCTCGGCCCGGGCTGGACTTTAGCCGACGAAACCCCTCTCAAACGCGCCATAATCCTCCGGATGACAACATCAATTCTACCTTGCTTCTGCATATTAACCGTGGTTTTCCTTTCTTCCTTCCGTTCAATAGGCTTGGCGACGCGGAGCCATCCGCAACCCGTCTGCTGGCTTCTTGTTCCCGCTGGGCACTCGATTTGGCAGTTTCCCAATTCGGAACCTTGCAGCCAGTCAGAGATAGCTGTCCGCACAGGGCTTTCCGGCAAACCATCTCATTGCCGAAACTCACGATGGCATCATCCCAAAAAACGAGAGTCCGGTGGCTCGGACAGACACCACCGACAGCCTCAGGGGTCACCTTCGCTGTGCCTTGGCGTGCAGGTGCTTGCAATGCCAAGAATGCCGTGTTTTCGTGCACTTCAGAAAGTGGCAGGTCGATTTCCATGCAAACTTGGCCGATCGCTTATTGGCCTGACTGGACGATCAAATGGACTAACCATGCCATACCAAAGACGACTGAGATAGAGGGCGCTTATGATATTGTAGCCGACGGCGATGACTCCCATGCGACTAGCCATCCTGCTGCGATTGACGTCAACGAAACTTCCGAGAGTATCAAAATATCGACTGGAAAGATCACAGCTCTTTTCCCAAAGTCGGGCACCACAATAATCAAGGACATCATCAATGCCAAAGGCGACACCGTGGGGACCGACGGCCACCTCGTCCTGCTTTCACAAACTGGGATCAGTGATCCCGAAATCCCGGATCCGTCCATTCTATATCACCATTTCAATTGCGAAATCGACAAAGTAGAGCTAGAGCAGGCTGGGCCAATTCGTGCTGTCATAGCTGTAAGCGGAGTGCACTCCGAAGTTTCACGAAGCACTTCGGCCAAGGCGGCTTCACACCCGGACTGGATCCCCTTCAAATTGCGATTTTACCTATACTATGGATCTGAAGCTATCAAAGTTGTTCACACGATCACGTATAACGGGAACAATAACGACTTCATCCGAGGCATCGGGATGCGATTGAAAGTTCCCCTAGCACGCGAGGCCCCTTTCGACCGTCACGTTCGTTTTGCCGGCGCGTCAGGAGGTACACTTGGCGAAAGCGCCCAAGGTATTACGGGGCTGTGGAAAGACCCAGGGAAGAATGCGAGACTCGCTCAAGTCCAGGGGAAACCTCTTCCACCCCCTGATTCATGGAATCCTGAGCTGCCGCAGGCTTCTCTCCGATGGATTCCTACTTGGAACGATTACAGCCTGCACCAGCTTTCCTCAGACGGCTTCACACTTGAGAAGCGACTGAAGGAAGGCCATCCATGGATCAAGACAGCCAGCGGGACAAAGGCAGGAGGCTTGGTTTACGTTGGTGGTGCCACCAGAGGTGGGCTCGCTGTTGGATCCAGACATTTCTGGGAGCGGTACCCAACTGGAATCGAAGTGCGCGGTCTTGGATCTTCACAAGATACAGCCGAGTTGACACTCTGGCTTTACGACCCGAAAGCCGGGCCAATGGACCTGCGTCCCTACCATGACGGGTTAGGACAAGAGGGTTTTGACGACCAGCTCGACGCGCTGAAGATCACTTATGAGGACTGGGAGCCGGAGCTTGGATCGCCGTTTGGAGTTTCCCGTACGAACGAACTTTTCTTCTTCGCGACCGAGTCAACGCCAGAAGCAAAAGGTTTTGCAGATTTAGCCAGATATGTCCGGGACCCCCCAAAACTGTTCGCTGACCCAGAAGCCATTCACGCAAGCGGGGCCTTTGGCAATTACTGGTCTCCAAAATCTCAACCAGCGGCCAAGAGTTTAGTTGACGTTGATAAAAGACTTCATTTTCTGTTCGAATTTTATAAAGAGCAGGTCGAACAGCGTCGATGGTACGGCTTCTGGGACCACGGGGACATCATGCACACGTATGATGCTGATCGCCATACGTGGCGCTATGATGTCGGTGGATATGCGTGGGATAATTCAGAACTCTCGCCAGATTTATGGCTATGGCTGTTCTTTCTAAGAACCGGGCGATCGGACGTGTTCAATATGGCAGAAGCCCTCACGCGCCATACCGGAGAGGTAGACGTGTATCATTCAGGGCCTTACAAAGGCCTCGGGACACGACATGGCGTACAGCATTGGAGCGATAGCTGCAAACAGGCTCGGATATCCAACGCGCTTTATCGCCGCTTCTTCTACTTTCTTTCCGGCGGTGACGAACGCGTCGGAGAGCTTCTTGAAGAGACGCTAGAGACGGATCAAAACTTCCTGACCTTGGATCCTTATCGCAAGGTTCGTAAAGACCGGGAAACCTATAAACCAGATCCACGTGGTGTTGAAATCAGTCTCGGCACGGATTGGGCCGCGCTGGCTGCATCTTGGCTTATCGAGTACGAGCGTCTCGGACCAGGATGGATCGAGGCCAAGACGAAGCTCTTTGCGTCTATCGAAGGTATTGGTAGATTGACGAATGGTTTTATCACTGGCAATGTGACGTACGATCCGGCAACCGGAAACATCACTCCTCCATTGGTTGATCCTGAAAACAAAGGAGTTGTGAAAGTTAGCCATCTGAGCGCTATGTTTGGGTTGTTCGAGGTCGCTGCAGAGATCTTTCAGCTGTTCCCCAAGCAAGCCAAGGCATCTGGATTCAGAGCAGCTTGGCTGGACTACTGTGCTTTCTTTAGCGCCAGCGCAGCAGAACAGGAGGCTCGATTTGGACAATCTGGTTGGGGGCAACTTCAACTTCGTCAAGGCCATTCTCGCTTAACGGCCTTTGCAGCCAGAGAATCTCGTAGACCTGACCTGGTCAAGCGTGCACTGGAGGAAATCGAAAATGGAGATTCATTCCGCGACTTTGGACCCAACGTGCCTTGGACGAGCACTCGTATTGATGAGGCGTACGTCCTTGAACCCACTGATGAGGCACCCTGGGTATCCACAAACATCGCAGCGCTCTATGGCCTGTCGGGTATTCAAATTTTGGCTCTCATCACAGACGAATAGGTCAAACCAACTTCAGGAAGCCTCAAAATTCCGTGTTGGAAAAATGGTCCAAAGAATTGGCTTTACTTACAAACACGAAGAACATTTTTCTCAACCTTATGCCGATGTGACCTACATCTTTCGAATTTTATACTCAGTGACTTATTTACCGCAGAACAAGATTAAACGTTGTTGAAGAGAAGGTGTGTGGGTTTTGCATACAAATCCTCCAAATCATGTGCAATTCCTGGTGAACTGGTGTTCAGCTCATCTTGACTTTGCGCGATGCGCGAACCGATTTCTTTATCTGGAAGAACCAGAGTGCGGGCAATTCCGATGAGATCTGTGCACCACCACCGGGAACCAGTAAGGAGTTTTGACAGTCGAGGCATGAGGAGACCGCACTGAATTTGAGTTTGTATCCGAAACAAGATCGGCCAAACCTCTTTGTAAGGTTTCGTCTTAACAAACAGCAAACCGGCTCGTTGCACCGAACCCCTCGGCATACTACCGTCTTGCAACACCACATGTTCGGGGTCATCCATGGTCTGGATCTACGCAATCAATTGCAAAGACAAAAGTCTCTTCATCGGCAAGAAACCGAGTCCGAACGACAAGCCTGACTAAGACTGCCGCGCGCTTATGGACCAATGTCTCTGAGCGTAAACGTAAGGAATAGAACCTAGCCCAAACTTAGCATTTCGGCTGATGCAGTGTTGTACCGAATGAGATTTTGTTTGTTTCCCTTATCCCGAATGTGAATTGCACTGTGTTGCTCTTGTCATCCACGTCTTTCAATTACCGCATTAACATCCATCAATACTAAGAGTTCATCTACCATACAGCCACACAAGTCTGTTTGCTAGAAGCCGCTTTTCCTAACGTCGCTGACTATTGCCCTCATCCATCTCATAAACGAAGTGATCTTGGCCCCGAAGTTCGCTCGCTTGGTAACCCTGCGACCCTTGTACCTCGTAAGACGTGCCCTGCGTATGACCGTACTTAGGCCAAGCCTCCTGGGCCATTGCAGTAGTGTATTCTGGATTGTAAGGGGGAGGCATGGATGGAACTGCCTTGCGCTTCTTCGCTCGGAGGAAGCAGAAGATACCTAACCCTACCGCAGCAAGACCTGCAACTCCTCCCACAGCTATTCCAGCAATGGCGCCCGTGCTAAGACCACTTTGATCTCCGGATGATGACGACCCACCGCTGGCATCGGACCCTGAAGTTGCAGTGCTTGTAGGGAAAACGGCTACCCGCGATGTCTGGGGCTTCCCGCAGTTTGACTTATCACTAGTGACTTTGACGAGGGAGCTTCGTGTTGTAGGATTTGCTTGCCACATTGTGAATGTCTCGGAGTCATGATCTACCATGAGGTAGGCGGCAGTGAGGAAGTAGCGACCCAATGTAGCAGGCTGATCAGACAGACCGCTAATGAGAAGCTCCTTTGTTGACTTGCTGATAGAGCGGGAACCATTTCGTTCAATATCGACATACGGGACGATGTACTGGTTGTTTGGCACTCTGACTTGAAGTCCGGAGCTGAGATAAAAAGTCAGGTCTCCATCAAATCTGCACGAGAAGTTAGCTGCATGTTTTCATACTTCATGCCCGCAGGGGAAAGTAAGGAGGACTCGACGAAGAATATTGTTACTTACGCATCCCCTGCAGCGAACGTCCGAGCCGACCAGTGAAGGCCGAAAGAAACACCGGTATCCTTCGAATTGGTGACGTTCTCAAACGCATCAACGAATGTTCCGGGGGCCTCCCAGAGGAGATGTCTGTGGGGCACGATGCAGCATTGCAGTGCTGTGTTCAGTGGCATGATGCTCTTGTCGCTTCCATCCCGAAAATTGACTTGGACATCCGTGACCGTAACCTTCATTCCCGTCCAGCAGCCTGTTGATTCACTGTAATCTAGACGTTGGGTGAAATTCTTCCCCGTCACTTTCTCCGAGTCGTAGCCACCCAACACAAGCGAACCGTCGATGTTGTTGTTGGACCACATGCGACCCCAAAATATTGACCACACTCGGGATCCAAGTTGACTCGCTTGTGCCAGGGACGTAAGATACGTCGAATTGGCACCGAGGCCGAGAGCGTGGAGCATGGTGTACCCGTTGTCCCATCTTAATGTTGGGATGCCGAGCGGTGTGTTGTTTAGACTCGTGGAACCAATGTCGAGATCATCATTCCCGCCAATACTCGTAGAAATGAGTTTCTTGACCCCAATCTCGGTACCGGCGGTAGTGATTTCCTCCGGTGCACCACCGGCTGATACGATGTCGGTAGCTTTGATAAACGTTGTCGAATCGTCTTCTCGAAACAGGTTTCCCCTTCTAACTTCGCAAATTTCATCGTTCCATATTATGGAAGAGTCACAGTTCGGGTTCGTGTTGTAGATCCAAGTGTTGTTCAGTTCGCTGGCGTTGGAAACTGTTAGTATATCATGTTGGCTGGGTCGAATTGTTAGAGATAGTGCGAACTCACGCCCAGGGTAGCATGACAATATTCTGCGAAGGTGTTCCAAGTTTGGCTGGCATGCCTCTCATGTAGGAGTCTGGCACGTTCGGATCAACTTGAACATCCTGGATCGGCAGAGCCACAGGCTCGACATCACACGATGCCAGTGCCAGTGTCGCCCCAAGACCAATGATAAGTCCATACATGTTTCCTATACAAGCATGATGAAAGTTGAGTGATAAGTGTTGAGAGAAAATACGAAGTAAACGTCGGGAAAATTGGTTCAAGTCGATCGGCTGGCGGAGGTAAAAAGACAAAGAGAGGGCGCCGAAACTTGGGAAGCGGGTTACATTGCGTCCTTAATCACCGGTTGGTTGGGCCTTGTTGGAACCCATTGGATGCAGACCGCCATAACAAATCACGCGCGGAGGATTCGCGCCTTCGGGGCAAACCAACAGGAAATTGCTCCTTGCCAAGATGAACAACCCGACCTGCATCCGACAATATCGTGGAAAGTCCTACGCACTGTAAAATAACTGTGTGTTGGAACTAGGGATGTCGAAAGCAGGGGAGGGAGCAAGGGGGCGGCGTCGAAATTAAGTTAGCTCGCGCCGGGGGTGCGAGAAGCTGCGCATAACAGATTTGCTAACAAAACAATAACAAGATTGTTAGAACCCCTCATGCCAGCAGCCGCCGATCTGCCCATCGCCAGGCTGCCTAAGCGCCCGTTGCACCAAAAAATCATTGCTCCGCAGGCACCAACGAGCCAATTATAGATGCTACCTTCAATGCTTTTCTTGCATGAGACCCTCAAGCTTTCGCAAATCCCTGTTCTCTGACAGATGCGCCAACTTTGGCCGACTACATTTCTACCGATGTTCCCGTTCGGTCGCTGTTCCGAGATGGACATCTCATCTCAAAGTTGTTCACCTGGTCCAAAGTGCCATCCGACAGCGCCATGATCGTTCCTCGCCGGCCGCCACGGCTCGCCTTTGTTGTCGTGACAGCATTCATCCTAATTCTCTTCGTCTACAACCCATACTGGCTATCTGCGTCCCAGAGCGCGCCAAGACCAATCCAGCACAACATTCAGTTCAAACCGAGCTCGTTCAATTGGACAACTGCGCGCCAATTCCATCCCGTGTCAACTCCTTTTACGTCTCTTCCGACTGGCAATCCGCTCAAGCTTCCTCGAATTCAGCATGATTTTGGCGTCGCGAATCCGCACCCCGAGGCACCCAAGCGCCAGAAAGCCGTCCGAGACGTCTTCAAGAAGAGCTACGATAGCTACAAGCGTTATGCGTGGATGCGGGACGAGCTCGCGCCGGTCACTGCGGGCGCGAAAGATACTTTCGGAGGATGGGCGGCGTCGCTCGTGGACTCGCTAGACACTTTGTGGATCATGGGCTTCAAGGAGGAGTTTTACGCGGCGGCCGAGGTTGCTGTCCAAATGGATTGGGCAAAGACAGCGGAGAAGAGTGCCAATATGTTCGAAACCACGATCCGTCATTTGGGAGGCCTTTTAAGTGCTTTCGATCTCAGTGGAGAGATTGCTCTCTTGGAGAAGGCGAAGGAGCTGGGAGATATGCTGTACATGGGCTTTGATACGCCCAATCGTATCCCGGGATTCTGGTTGAATTTCGAAGACGCCACCAAGGGAGCTCAGCTCGCAGGCACCCACGATCCATCAGCTTCTCCATGTTCGCTCTCTCTCGAGTTTACTCGTTTATCGCAACTTACGGGAGATATGAAGTACTTCGATGCGGTGAACCGCATCAATCGCTTCCTCGAACGCACTCAGTTTCAGTCCAAGCTTCCTGGAATGTGGCCGAAGATGATTGACTTCCAGAATGAGCGCGTTGACGACAACGGATTCACCCTGGGTGCCCTCGCAGACTCTTTGTACGAGTATCTGCCGAAGATGTACGCTCTTATGGGCGGCTTGGACAAATCTTTTGAGAAGATGTACATTGGTGCCATGACGATCGTGGAGCAGCACATTCTCTTCCGGCCGATGACACCGGACAACGCCAACATTCTCTTCGCAGGAGATGTTTACGTACACTCCGACAGAATCGACCATGTCGCTGAAGGCCAACATCTGTCTTGCTTCGTTGGTGGAATGCTAGGACTGGGCGGAAAGCTCTTTTCTATCGATGACCACGTCGACCTTGGTGACCGTGTGGCTCGCGGCTGTGCCTGGGCCTACGACGCGATGCCGACTGGCATCATGCCGGAAATCTTCGATCTCATTGGGTGCTTCTCGGTGAAAGACAAGTGCCCCTGGGATGAGAAGAAGTGGGAGCAAGATGGTGACAAGAGACTGAAGAAGGGTTTCAGGAATGCTCGTGACCCCAGGTACATCCTGCGACCCGAGGCCATTGAGAGCGTCTTCCTCCTCTATAGGATGACTGGGAAGCAAGATTTGCAAGACATTGCATGGCGCATGTTCCAGTCCATCATCAAGGCGACTGGGACAGAGTATGCCAACTCAGCCATCGCTGATGTAACTGTCCCCCCCGAGAAGACTCACAAGATAGATTCCATGGAGGTTTGTTTCATTCTTTTCCAATGTTTAGGCTGTGCATCATTGAATTCTTGAGAGCTGACCCTTGCTTTCACAGAGCTTCTGGCTTTCGGAAACCTTGAAATACTTCTACCTTATTTTCTCACCCCTTGACTTGGTAAGCTTGGACGACTTCGTCTTCAATACGGAGGCGCATCCGTTGAGGATTCCGAAATGAGACGGCTTGTAGAGAAGCCCCAGAAGCGGACGGGCCATCTTTGAAGTGAACACAGGGTTTAGCAGGCGTTCAGGTTGGGCTCAGGGACAGGGAATTCATTTAGACGGCATATTATAAGAGAATTTACTGGCTGAAATCGGGTGTATCCAGTCATCCTTGAATCAACACTGTTTCTTCTTTTTTTTCCCTTATTTTGAATCAGCAGCACCCGTGTGTTAATGGCGCTTCGTCATCTAAGGGCTAAGGGAGGCTTGAAGCAAGTTCCAGGGCACAGCACAATCATGAAGGATAGGGTGATTTTGAAATTACGGGCGCATATTTGAGCTTCCTTCCTCTACCTAGAGTTCTGTGAATAGGAAGACAGTGGCAGCGCATAATCATCATCACACCTTGTTCATTTACCAGGACCGAGCGACGCATCATGTAATGGCCCGAAAAAGGAGTTGGAAATGTACCAAGTGAGGGACGCCAGTACATAGACAGCTGTAAGAAATCACCGGGAACTCTTCAAATACTGCAATACTTTTCGCCATTTAACAGAAAGACTTGACACCTTGCATAGCGTAGTAGTCAGCTGCATCTGATGGATTGGTACACTGGATTCATTTTCCAATTTAGGAGGTATTGAAGCTTGCGTTGTGCATTGAACACTAGCAAAGGGCAGGGCCACAATTTAAGGTACCTTGCTTCTGCTACCTTGGCTTCAAGTCTTGAAGCAATCATGTTCTGCTCAAGCGAGTAATCGGGCATTTATATTCAAGAAGTCGGGTTTTACAGCATGTGGAAGCAGCATATTTCCTGCCCTTCTTTCAGTTCACCCAGTGTCCAAGTAACCCTTTGTATTCGCCGTCCGCTGATAAATAAGGTACGTATGCTTCGATTCCACAGCGCGTTCTTTTCTACCCGCAGTGGTTGATTGGGTGAAAGAAAGCGACCATGATTGGACCTCTTCATTGGACACAAAAGCTTCGTATCACTACACCATTGGGACGCCGCCGAGTCTGCCTGTGGCGGTGCAGCTTACCGCAGCACTAGCTTGTCTTAATTCTGAGTGGATGTGAAATGCAACGTAGCATGTCACGTAAGGCAGTGCATTATCTCATATATGATAGAAGCCCCGCAGCTTGAAAAGCAATCAGAATCCCTATCTTATCCATGTTTACGTTGAGCTACGGCGTAATTGACTTCGCCGCCTCTTCCAGTGCAGGTTCTCCGGAACAACTGTGAACAGAATGTCTGCCGCTTTCACTTTCGGGAGTCTGGGCGATATTCTTACCCGGTGCCAAATTGGGATGGCATTAGGGAAGGCTCTAGGCGAAAGTCAAGGCAGCCACAAGATATATCGATGTTTGAAGAATGATATTGACTCATTTGTTCAAGTTTTATGGAAGGCAATCTCTTCAAACAGCTGCAGAATTTCTTGAAGCGTAGGCCTGAAGTGAACACCGAAAATGAGTTGACTCGGTATCTTGCTAGGTCCTTGCCATTTACCAAGATCGTGAGCATTCGGGCTGGCTCTCAGAGATCGAAGATATTATCAAAGAGACGATCGAAAACGCTGCAGAAGATATGCGAGAGGCGCTGGCATACTTTCGAGCAAAATATGAAAGTGCCCTTGGTGATCACATGCATCCCAGCAATCCCCTTCGGGCCAGCCTTAAGAAGGTTGAGTTTAGATTTCGCGAGGCGGAAAGATTGAAGGAACTGCAAGACAATATCAACACTAGTACCGCAAGACTCACCCTAGTCATCATCCTGCAGGCGCAGTGAGAAAGCCCTCAGAGAAGACTGACGCGAAGTGCCGCTGACTTTATCCAGGAAAGTAGCAAGAGTCAATAATGCGACAATGAGAGAACGAATGCATCAAATCACAGAGATACTTGCGAAGCAATCAGATGATATGCAATATCAGATGCTGATTCAGAAGGAACAGAGCGCTGGACTGCGGGAGCTAATGCTGGAAGTCTGCGCAATGGGAGATCGTGTGAAGCTTCAGGAGGAAAATGACCACTTGATGATAACAGAACTTCAGGAAAGCTCCGCAACTCTCGAGAGTCTAGGCAAACGGGTCTCCGCACTCTTCCTGCTACTTGCTGACGTTCGCGATATTGAAACACGGCACAGATACTTCGCAGGCCCAGACCCCACGTTCCAAAAGCCCATTATTTTCGAAGACGCGCTAGGATTCGTGTTGGAGATCCCGCTCAAATGGATCCGTTCCTGGAATGTAAGGGTTAAGTCAACTCCTAAGTCCCGCCGCCAGTTTGATTTCTCTTCTTGCCCGACATATACTGACCGAGTCTCTTTCCTCATCTAGCACTTCGAGACTAATATTCAACATATTTTCGAGGACAAGAAAGGCTACGACAAAGTTCTGAATAGAGAATATGGTCTTGAAGAAGATGTGAGTGGAACCGAACTAGACCGGTCGCTACCTTGGACGGTTGCTCTGCGTGCTGGGATGAAGATCAATATGTGCATGATCTTCAATCTTGAAGACCGTAATCTAGATGGGACAGAACAAAACATCTGTCCAGGATGTGGTTCTAGAGGAGAAAGCAAAGTTGGCAATAACTTTCAGTGGTAAGCTGTCATGGATTCTTACATACTGGCTCAAAAGATGTATCTAATTCAGGAACAGCAAGACTGCATCGTGCGGGAAATGGTACAGAGTTTCAAAAAGATTCGCCTCTCCCGCACACGCGGGAAACATCGATTCGCCGAGCTCCACGCCAGCTACTGATGCGAAGTCGGAAACACGAGAAAAGCCTTCGGATTTCAATCGCGTGCGTCTCGAAATAGTTCAAATTGAGATAGCTTCCCAAGCACAAAACCCCAGGACGGGTCGCAGCAAAACACTGCGGAAACAATCTGTTGTTGTTTCCCAGTTCAAACCATAAAAAGCCTCGTCTTCCAGCTCAGCATCGTTTACGACTGAATCTGCGTGGGGATCAACTGCAGCCTCTTACGCGGCATCCATGGCGTGAGTGTTACCCATTTCGCCCCAGTTCCTTGCTTGCACTTTTCAGAACTTAGCAGTAATAATACCAAGGCTAACATGTCTCAGCCCATCCGCTAGAATAGAGCGCGACTTCCGCACGGATCAACGTCATGATGCCACAAAAATCCAAAGTCGTCGTGTCACAGTGATCAACGGATATCAATCCAGCTGCGAGCACGGTGCCCCTATCCCTAGCTTTGGCGGGACTTTCAGACGTACATAGCGCATATGAACATGTCGACGTAACATATCAACTCATTACAGGTATTGACAACCCAAATTGAACACAGCCAGAGATAAAGGGATGGTGCATGGGATTTTGGGTTTAGATCATGCGTGGCCCGACACTGATTTCTTTCCAAATGGAGAAGTCTAACTGACATTGCTGGCTTCGGGCTAAGAATCCAGAAATGCCCCCGATGATTGACCGATCGGCAACCATTGCTTTTCTTCAAGAATGGATGGGACTTGGATTTGGTGAAGTCTATGCGAGCCTAGAAATGTATTTTTGGTTGCTCCCAACATTTCAGTATCGTGTGCTCGTGCCGTCGGCATCAATATTTTCGTCATGTCATATTTAATTGCGAAATATCATTGGTGGCGACATAGGTTCTATCTATTGTCAAGACATCAACAACATCTATAGTAGGAAGCTCGCTCAGTTGAACCAAACTTACCACTTACTGCAACTGGCTGACACAATGACACCACGATTAGTCTGCAACCCAAGAGCTGCGAATATACGCGAGTGTAATTCTGGGGCTTACTTATCTCAGTAATCAGCTCATCAAGCCGCAGGAATAAATCATATCACGGTATCGCGTCACACCACGCGACCAAAGCAGGCTGAGCTGCTGGAAGCACAAGATAATGCCTAGAAAGACCTGCTTCTTTTAATATTTGTGCTGAAGCGCAAAGCCCAAAAGTGAGTCTTGACATCACGAAGAATACGGAAATGCGGCATTGGAAAGTCTTGTCTAAGCGTTAAGCATCCAAGAATCTTGGAAAGTCTTGGTGTTGTTGAGCTTGGCGGTCTGGGCAAGAGCATTTACTGCGGGGAGAGGAAATTTCCGTGCGGAGGCATTTATTGCCAAGAGACAATAAGAAATGAGGTGCACTATCTTAATCGGATACGTACTGCGATGCCGAGAGACTAATTTGCCTTGGTATGCCTGCCCCTCCGCTTTCTCGCAGCTCAATAGCCGTGCTGAAGAAGGAAGGTCGTTTTGTCATTACAGCTCGAGTGGTGGAAAATCAACATTGTGGGCTGCTTGAGCTTTGGTAGTCTGAATATCATCGTGTTCGCCTTGGGCCGAGATATCAACGGTGACAACATGAAGCTTTCACCGGATTTGGGCCCTGGTCAACTACTGCAGACAAGCTGATACCTTTCCGGCTAAGTCCTTTACCACCTTGGCCAGTCGGCTCACAGCTCCCTATTTTGGCTACCAACCTCTCAGGCCCAATGCAACGCTGACGCGATCTCGCTTAGCCATAGCTTTCCTATCTTTCGACGACACGCAATGCCCTCACTGCCTTATCACTCAGACCACTTGACGAACCATGATTTCTCAACATGCAAACAACCCGACACTGCCTTTCGTGAAGTTGACCAAGAAAACTCGATTGACGCTGGCGGAAGCGAGAGGCGTTTCATGCTTATTTACCTCCTTCCATCCTTGAGCTAGTCTCCGTCTTGTGCACTTGGCAACCCCTTGGCACCCAACAATTGGCAATATCTCATTGGCAGCCGATGCTATGCATCGATTCTCGGCATCATTGATTGCTAGGTTCGGTTAAACTTGCTTGATACTCCCATTGGGTCGTAGCAACGTGGCTGGACTGCCGAAATGTGATGAACCCCTGGTCTTTGCGGTCTCGACTGAGCGCAAAAGTCTATCCTCCTCCGGCGGCGTGGCCCGTACAGAGTCCTGAACAGTGCCGCCCGAGCCCCCAAATCGTGGCCACACGGCGATTTCGTGCGCTTTCTCAATAACTGAGGCTTTCTTTTGGTAGGAACTGTTTGCCTAATGTACAACAGGTCTTCTTGAGTACGGGTTAGACGACATTGTCAATGCGTTTGCGTGATATTAATAAAGATACCGGACTTGTTCGTCCTGTTCGTGTGACTACCTTAGAACGGCCCACGATAGCAAGACCCCTTCGGCAGAGGCTCCGGGGGCATTCCGTGCGGGGCTGCGATGGGCAATACTCATACTCGAGGTGTTATCTGCAAGGTTGAGAACTTGTCGTCCCAATGTGATCAGCAGCTGCAGCAAACCTTAACGACCATCCGTCTTGATATTAGCTACCCCTTGGCAACGGTCTGCCCTGTCCAACCTACCTTCCATGTTTTCATCCCAAGGCCGTCTAGGCAGACTGGGCGCTGCTTCGTCTTCCTTTTTCTCGCTAGCTCAAGCATCGAGGCCCTTCAATATGCATGTCTGTTACCAGGTCTATGAGATATATGTCAACATCAGCATCGATTGGGAGGAGGGTATTTAGTATAAAGCGGCCGGTATCGAAGCGGCAAGTTCACGGCTCTTCTCCTGTCTCACCACTAACTCATACCTCCTCACAGTCTCTGATCTTGCCTCTTGGTTCCTGTCTCCACAATGAAGTTCTCTCTCGGAGTTTCCCTCCTGGCCACGCTCGCCAGCGCCGTGTCTGTTGACATGGCCAAGCGCGACACCTCCCCCCTCGATGTCAAGCTCGAGACCGTTGGCAACTCCGGTGTCAAGGCCGTCCTCACCAACATTGGTGACTCAGCCCTCAAGCTCTTCAAGACCGGCACCATTCTTGACACTGCCCCTGTCGAGAAGGTCGAGGTTTTCGCTTCTGGTAATTATTTCTTTCGCGCCCGAACGGAGCCGAGTGCTAATATCCTCCACCCAGGTAACAAGGTTGAGTTCGATGGTGTCCGTCTCCTGATGGCCACCTCCGGCTTGACCGAGGAAGCTTTCCAGGTCATCGGCGCCGGCGAGTCCGTCGAGGTCGAGTTCGATGCTGCCGAGCTTCACGACCTTAGCACCGCTGGCGAGATTGACATCGTCAGCTCCGGTGCCTTCTCTTACGCCGAGGCCGACTCCACCGAGCTGGCTGGCACCATCCCCTTCTCCAGCAACAGTGTTCACACTGCTGTCAACGGCGAGGAGGCCGCTGCCGTCCGCGCCCGCTTTTTGGCCAAGCGCACGGTCGTTCAGTCCGACTGCACTGGCACCCGCCGCACCGCTACTGTGGGTCTCACCCGGGTCATCTCCGTCTCGATCCGGCTTCGTGTCGGACATGAGCTACATCCTGTCTGCTATCGTCCATAAAAATTATTGCAGCAACATCTATTGTTCACTTTCTGTTTTAATCCAGCTAGAATCGCATCGGCTGTTCTGTTCGGACTCTGGAGCCCAGCTGACATTGTCCTTCCTAGGTTAACGCCATCAGCCGTTGCCGCTCCCTCGCCGTCGCCGCCTCCTCGGCCGCTGCTTCTGGCCCTGCTGCTCGCATGACTGAGTACTTCAAGTCTTCCACGTGAGTTTTGTTCTGAAGAAGATTCGAAGCATTCTCGTCGCTAACGCACACACCATCAGCACCGCTACTCGCAACACCGTCGCCACCGTCTTCTCCAGAATCGCCAGCGAGTGCGGCAGCACCACCTCTGGTGTTTCTCGCCAATACTGCACTGACGTTTACCCTGCCTGCTCCAACGGTGTCATCGCCTACACACTGTCGGTTCCACCTTGATCCCGATGTGCGTTGGTGGAGATGCTGACCATCAACCCAGGCCGTCCCAAAGCTACATGGTTAACTGCCCTCTCTTCTTCACGATGACCGCGGCATCTAGCACTTGTCATGCCCAAGACCAGCAGACCACGTGAATCAGCCCTCTTTGCGCTTTATAACTTACTAACATCTTCGCAGGATGTAAGACAACTCATCCCGATGGAGTGGTGGTGTTGAGGTTTGGGGTCGAGGAGAGAACTGAGGCTAACCATGACATAGCTTGCACGAGATGACTCATCTTACCCAGATTAGAGGCACTTCTGACTGTAAGTTTCTTTCGTTTACTTGATTTGCCCATGGCTCAGGTTATTGGCTACCTGGCAGTCGCGTCCACCTCGGCTTTCGCATACCTGAAAATATCACTGACCAACACAACAGACGGCGGTTACGGATACAACTTCGTTCGCTCTCTCAGCGCTTCGCAAAACCTCAACCATGCTGACACTTACAGTAAGTCTCTCAATTCCATCCCTGTATACTCTATGCTAATGATTTTTTTGCAGCCCTCTTCGCTCAATGTAAACTTCCCCGGGTCCTACTCTTGCTATTCACCTGACATGATACTAACCTGTGAAATAAGCAATCTACGCCGGATGCTAATTGACCAGCGCTTGGGCCCTATTTGACAAATAGAAACTCAGGGACTGGCATATACTAGGATGCAGCAAATGGGGGATAGCGGTTGGATACTCATATGTGCGTCTGTGTTGAGATTATGCAGTCTTTTCCATGGGCCTTCTTCTGGTCGCTTCACAGTACCTGGATTAGGGCAGGTTATGAATTGAGAACTCAAATTCGGAGGAAACAATCCGCGTATGACATGAAGGTGATCTTTTGTATTGCACTGTCTACTAATAAACTTGACCAATTGTGATGTAAGTCATGTTCGACTCAACGAAACCCTTTCCTGCGTGGTGGAGGAATAGAGCAATCGCCGTCTTGTCGATCATGCCGTGAGATGAACCCACTGAGAAGCCTTCGTCGAAAAGTCGAGGGTGGGCCAAACAGCCGTCATGCAGTTACGTCCATACCAAATCCATCCGAAAGACTGGTGCTGGTCACTTCAGCCTGTCCAATCACACCAGGCAGCTGATCAAGGGCTGTAAATGTCTTCCTCCTCGTCCATGTGAGCACCAAACGCATCGTTTGTTTTGCTGTTGTCATTGTTGGCATGCGACTTCGAGTTTGACGATGAGCGGGTGCTGGCCGGGGGTCTATTGTTCAGGTAAAGACGGCGGGGCAAGTCCTGTGCCCTTTGGACGTCTTCGCTGGTTGGCATGTCTCCAGCCGGTAGCATTTCCACAAGAACGCAAAGCACATTTCCCAGCTCGTTGCGATCGATAGAAACGTCGTTTTCGGGGCTGCACAAGATAAAAGAGAGTTTCTGAATGAACTTCGCGTCGAGGGTCGCGGCTTTGGGATGCTCGAAAGTGCGTGGCCACATAGTCTGGAAGATTTGAGTCGGTAAGTACAACATTTTACGTTGAAAGAAAACCTTACACGAATCTGGAGGAGAGCAGACTCTGCTTGGGGCATAGAGATGATTTTCTCGGCGCATGTGAGGTCCACGATAGGCTGATACCGCTGACGGAGACGCTTCGACTTCGAATCTCTCCACCATTGAGCCACCAATGCGGCAGAGGCTGTCTTCTCTTCCTGGGTCATGGTGGAGTTGATAATGTTCTTCATCTTTACCATTTCGTAATAAACCTTGTACGTATCTTCTGGTAAATTTGCAATAGGCTCACCGTTGTTGCCGCTGCAGTCGCCGTTGTCGACCGCTGGTGCCGTCTGCTGTCGTCCGCTACTGTCGCTGGAGTCGTCGCTGTCATTGCTACCATCGTCGGTATCGTCGCTGTCGTCACTGCTGTCGTCGGTATCGTCACTGATGCAGTTCGCTGCTGACTTCCGTTGTTTTCCGCTGCCGTGAGTACCGGTCTACTTGGTTAGATTGCCATCGATGGATTTAGGCATTTTGGCAGTCAAGGCAGCATAGCCAACATTCCAAGCGTTCTGAATCGCATGATCGCTGACTGTGTCTGATACGTTACCTAAGTTGACGCCTTCAAGCCACTCGGGGTGGAAGAAAATCTGTGATCTGCCACCAGGAATATAATAACCGACAGGAGGGGCACCATCGACCCCTGTGCCCACCAGAACCAGGGCATACGTGCGGTTTCCTGAGACCTTCTCTTTCTTTGCAGCTCTGCTAGAACTGGTGGTCGGAACGCTTCTGGGCGCGGAAGCCAAAGGCAATCCAACTCGGAAGCAAGATCCCGCAAGGGTCCTTTGAATGAAATTCTCGGACATGAAGTTGTTTTGCTCCGGTTTGTGGGCTTTCGGGATGTAGTATCCGACGCTCATGACTTGAATTACCTTGGGGTAGATATCCGCATCAGGCTTGCCGACATCCCATTCCGAGATCTCCACTTGACCAGGCAATGTGTTGTCAGTCCAGGCCTTGTGTTCGCCCGTCTCGGGGTCAATCATATCCGTCAGGTGTTTCTTCGCTCGCATTCTCTTGGGCGTAGGATATCTGACCCAAACCAACTGTCGTCGCGGTCTTGAGGGGTACTGGTCATCGAACCTAAGCCTTCCTGCAGGCTGGTAGGCCATGTTTTGATTTCCCGTGGCCATAGTGAGTTCAGCCTGGAGAAAGTGTTAGTGTCAATTCTTGGTGGCCACTGTCTCTCCAAAACAGGGAAAAAGCAAGAGCAAGAAAGGAATCAAAAGAAAAAAGCAAAAAGAGTCCACCCTATCTCCCTGTGTCTGCGCGACTGTATCTCCTGTGTACTTGATAATTCCTGCCGAAGACGATGGTCGCGTCGCCAAACGACGAGCGAAGACCACGGATGACGACGAAAATGACGCAGAGTAAATGACCACAGGAAAGTTAGTCGCTCCAGCACAGTGAAAACAGCCGTTCTCATCGAAATGGAAAGACAGCCGTGTCACATACAATTTTCTGCTCGTTTTGGGACGAAGCGAGGGTAGAAGAGATGAGTTGCCACCGCAGGCTTGCGAAGACAAGGCTTGCCTGTAGATTGTGGAAACGGGAGAAGTGAGAGCCTAGTAGAACTTTCCGAAGGATGCAAGAAATGCTTCAATGGGTTCACAAAACGGCAACTGAGGCAGCCTGGTACGGCGGTAGGTGGGGCGCAAGGGCAGACAAAGGTGAGTTTCCGGGTACAACCAGCTTGGGCTTCTCACAAGCCTAGCGGGAAGGAACAAAATTGAGAGATGGGGTTGCTCTTAACTCATTTGTAGCAAAGACGAACTTTGGCATTTCTCAAGACACCCAAGGCTGGAAAAGCCTTCCCTTCCCAAATTTCATCTGCCCGTCTCTCGAGTTCTCCCCTTCGATACTCACTCATTACTGGAAGGTAGGGCCGACTTAGGCGCTCAAAAGTCCATTTCCCATCGCGCAAACGAAGACTTTTCTTTGAATGAACACATAGAGTCAGTCTCTCAACAATTGGCTGTCGCTTGTCAATGTCGTCGCCGACATGCTTATGGGGAGCCATTTTCTCCACCTTCTTTCTTTCTTCTTTTTTTCTCTTGTTCTTTTTCACGGGACGCCATCAGAGTTGTTGTCGGTCTGCCACCAAGGTCGGTCCTTTCAAAAAACAAAAGCTTATTCAATGCGTGGAAGGAACACCCGTATGCCCTAAACGTACCTTCCACTCTTAGTTGCTCATTTAAGAAAGGGCGTCCGTCGTGCTTTCCCAGCCACGTTCCAATCTCCAAACCCTCCCAGAACGATCATCTGCCAGTCTCATTACTTGGTGGCACACGACTCCACGCAAACCTTGCAAAAGTTCGCTCGAGAGGATACCAAAGTTGACATGGGCCGAAATGTCAGCTATCTGAATGAGGATGAGATCGATATCCGAAGACGTTATGTAAGCGAGATTCAGCTCATTCTGTTGACGGACGAGAGTATCTGGGTTTTGAGTGAGGCAGAACAGGCGGTTTTCCAGCAGGCCCGGTTCTGGGCGCTGCTATGGACAACTGAATTACGCCGTCTTGAAAGCATTCATGCTACCCTCAGCAGAACAGACAACAGCAACGAATACCTTTCATCTACCAGACTGGCTACCGCCATCGAGCTCAAGTCAGCTGTCCTAAATACACACGCCTACGTAGGCTATGGTAAGCAAAGCAAGAAGCCAGAGTCTCACACGTAAGAACAGCATGTGCTAATGATTCATGACATCGCAGCTACTTGTCGCGCAGACCAAGTTGGCGATAAACCGGAGAACATCGCTCGTAATGAAAGCGCAGCGGAGAAAGTATGGAAGATTCTTCAGCCCCTGTTCTATGGCAATTGTGGCTAACAATCACTGCGCAGGCTGGCGATCGCGACGACAACAAGTGCGTCGCAACGGGATGTCACGAGAGCCAGATTTGCCACTTCGCCGCCGTTTTTGGTATCAGCCGCAAATCAGCCATGCGATGGCTTTTGTTTTGTAATGAGAGTCTTCATAGGCCCACAGGCTTACAGAGACCTAGAGGTCAAACTTATCGGGTCCGGCACCATCATTGATACCCCGAGTAACATGGTGACTCTCACGCATAAGCTTCACAAGTACATGGACGACGCCATCTTTGGTTTGGAGCCAGTCAGTTATATTTCTCAACGCAAACCTGAGCTGAACGCACCTTCCGGAGAGTCCAACGGCCAAGAAATGAACACGGGACCAGCCACTGGTGATAGCCGCACCCAAGGACATGCGGAGTTGCAGACAGATGACGCCTCTCTGAAGATTCCAGACCCAGACCATCGGTCTGGTACATCCGCAGGCTTACGGACAGTTGACGTTAACCTTGTCGCCTCTGGGGAGAGTCCGAATCGAAGGTCTAGACGGGCCATGGAGTGCAACTTGGAGAGAAAGGCCGATGCCGAGGCTGAGGCCGACAGGATCCAGGCGCGAGAGGAAGAGAAGAGACCCGAAGAGATGAGGCAACACGGTCTGGAGATACGCTGTCACTGGCTACCAAGGACCAATCTCAGATGCCCCTTGGACAAGGTCGAAGACTTTGGAGCCGACCCGAGGGAGATGATGGAGGAATGGTCGGCCGAGAACTATGAATTTCGGTACGAGTCAGGACAGCCGCTCAACTCAGGGACGATCATAACGATCTGGGCAGACAAGAAGGCGGACCTGCCGGATGTTGGAATAATGAAGTTCATATTTCAGGCCCTCTGCTTTCACCGCCTCAGTGGAGGCGCCGACACGAGGATTTACCGCCCGTGGACGCACTATGAGACAGAAGACCCTGGTCACACATACGCGAGTGACCCGAGGAGGGAGGCGGAGCGACGCATTCTCAAGATACTTGCGGAAGATGATAAGGCAGGCGGAGTTCACAATGCCGATAGAAACAGGGAAACTGAGAAGGAAATTCTCCGTGCGCTTGCCGAGTTGGAGATATCACCCGCAGAAGCTTCTTCGAACCAAGTTGTCGACGGGGGCTCGGATCGGAGACGCACGCGAGGCGAATACACATGCTGTTGCCATCGATGACGATGACCCTAGACGTACTTGGAGGGCATATGGCGGAGGCTATCAAGTTGTTTGCGGAGAAGTTAGGTGACGCGACAGATCACACGGTTGCAAAGTTAGCCCGACTCTTTGCAAAAGAGCCGGTGAAGATAGTTGCTCGGCTAGGTCTTCGAAGCGTTAAGGTAAAGAGTAGCTTTATGCGTGAGGTGGGGTTGGTTAGGTAGTTGATTTTTAGAAGAGTAAGTCTTGCTATGATACCACTCAGACTTTTGCCTATTCGATGCTACCAGGAAGATGTTGATCCGCCTGCTAACTCTATTCGGCCACTTGCCTTCATTACGCGCGACTACGCGGTAGTCCTCGCGCGCTCGCTCAAGGAGCTCTTTTCTTCTCCCTCGCTCAACTCGTCAATCAAGTCTGCCAACCTCACAAAGTTGTCGAGTACCGTAATCACGTGTACCATCCCAACCTGGTCGGGTTCGTCGAAAGAAATTTGAAGTACCTTGATGGAGATGACTCAACATCCCCTTTCCATCAGGTACAAAAGTCGGCACCCCGCCAAGACTGCAATGAGCTATGTCGTAAGCCAAAGAGACAGCAACAATGAATAGCACCTAGATCTTTCACCCACCACACGAGCAGACCAACTTGGCAGCCGATACCAGCGTTCACTTGACAGGTGTAATCATAATGCTGCCTTAAAGTCGCGCGAGTTTCCTGTCATCAATTCCGACATGGCACGGGGGAATGTACTTAAAGAGTTCCATTAGGGCATAATTAGTGTCTATGTGCGTTGTCTGAGGGTGAGAGAGTTTTAGCACCCTTGATTTCCTATGTCAGTGTGTCTTTCTCTCGGCTCGGATGCCCTGGTTTTTGATCTTCAAACGATAGTGTAGTGGTAGTTTTGCTAAGAATCAGTCTCAAAGTAGCCACTCTCAGACCTTGCTTCCTTTGGGAGTTTTCCTGCGTCATTCATTTGCTTCTATTGACAACCAGCCATTTTGATATCAAGCACGTTCCACAATCCTTGCGTTGCATAAACCTTGCCGTATTCGAGCCCGGGAACCCGACCGCTCCTCGCCTGTTCGGCCGTTGACATGAAGTCCGTCGAATATCCTTGTCATGGACAAAAGTCGTTCCGCCTATTCATCGTGACTTACTGGACCCGTGGTTCATTGGCCCGACTTGCCTATTTTCACCCGATCAAGACATTCCACCGTCGCATTGGGACAGGCCCCTGCCCTTGGCACTTTGGGAATGACTCGTCCTCAGAAACTGCGTGTTTGGTGTTGCACCCGAGCTCACATGGTAATTGAATTCGCCATGGCATTGGCTTGGCTCATTCTACCGCAGTAAGGTCAGCAGAGCTAAGCAGGCCTCGACCATCGATATTGGAAACCAGAAACGAGCCAGCGAAAGAAGGTTGCAACCTGCATCAGACGGTGGATCATGGAGTGAGGTCGAATGTCACCTTGTTGCTTGAAGTCTGGCCATCCAACGGTGTTCGATGACGGCTAGAATCCAGGCCGTAAGCGAACGGAATCACCGCCGAAGTGAGACTCAAGTGTATCGTCCAGATTCTGTGTTACGTTCGTGATAGCTCCGCTTCTTCCTTTTCCCGAGGCGCAGGTCGGGTTTCCACAGTCAATGGGACGGTTGCCCACCAGGGCTGAAAGCTGACTTCTACATCAAACGACACCTCTTCGGCTGAGCAAACCCCGGTGCGAAGCCCGACATTTCATAAGTCGTCATGCCGTCGTGGCTTAGAAATTGTGCATGTCTCAAAGATCCTCTTTTCAGCCACAGCCACTTCTGTTTGAGTGGGACGCGAGGCGGTGGCTACGTCGTTTAGGAGATAAGCAACAACAACAGAGTTCAAATTTACTGTACAAAATCTCCACGACCAATTTTTTAAGCATAACGCATCGAATGAACTCTGTGCTGGCAAGATTGCACCGAAAAAAATCCTGTTTGCTTTTCGCCGCTTTTGTTTCATCCCTTTTCATATGGATTGGGGCTGGGAGAAGTGGCCCTCCACTCGCTTGCTTCCGGATTGATTGCGCGACGTGGGCTTCTGCAGGGATAAAAAGGTGGCAGCCAGGGAGCTAGGGCCTATATTTGACAAACTAAGAATAACATTAATTAAAGTTCTGCTCTCCCGTTGCTCGGCTCGACTCAACCCACCAAGGAAATGCCTGCAGACATCCTGTTTCAGGTCCTGTCGCTTGGTGGCTCACGTTCGGGTCGAGTTGTCGTTGTCAACTGCTGACGTTGTCCCATGCGAATGGCAGAACGCCACGGCCGTAAATGGGACCCCGGGAGGCCTGCCCAGCATCTTCGAAAATTGCGGTTTCCACAGATTCGAATTTTTGACGCGATCACCATGTTCGAGCCGTCTCCAAACCCTCCAGGTTCTTCACCAAAAGGGGCCCGACGGAGTTATCGTCCCGCGAGAAGATGCCTCGATTCGGCTTGCCGCCCTGGTCCCGTCCAATGCGTCATGCAGTGATGGGTGCCGATCACCTCGGCACTCCCCGGATTTTCCGTCGTTTTCGCTCTCCCGACAGTCCAACTGCCAGAGTGTGAGCCGGTCCAGCGGACTCAGCGTCGCGTCTCATCGTGAATGCGACGATGAATGCGTGGTAGCGAGCATTCATCCGTCAGCCTCATGCCATCCGCCAACGACACGTTACGACGCAGTGCGACTCCAATAGATGAGTCCAAGATTTGGAAGTATAGATGCGGCGCCTCCTTAAGTTTCGATTGCCGCTGGGTCGGGGCCGCCGCCGGAACATGGCGTCAACCAACGGTCCAACGGTCAACGTTAGTTGTCAAGGGGTTGACCATGCGGGCGGCCGGTAGACCATCCCGACTGCCGTCTTGGTCTCATGCTGGCACCATCCGGGATGCATTCAGTGAGTGCCATTCAGGTCTGCCACAATGGCCCAGGCTCTGACCATCCATGGCCGACACTGCTCCCACAAGACGTGGCTGTCCGCGCAGCGCTCCCGGTGAATGGCCCAACCACAACCCCGGCCCCGACCGCCGATCGCGCCGAGACTTTTCTCTCCACTACCCCCGTGCGAAATAGATTGTTTTGTGATCCAGGTGGCCAGCCCCGGCGCTCCGCCCTTGTCGTCCGTCCAATGTCTGTCGGTGCTCTGCTGGGGGCCGAGCAAACGCCTGCGGACGGAGGCACTCCGACCTCGCGTCCGCCAAGACCTCAACTTCCTTTTACGGGCGATAGTCTGGTTTGGGCGATATGATTGTGCCTGGAGCTCAGGAGTCGGGGACTCAGGAGAGATGGAGACGGGATTGCGGTCCTTGACTCCACGATGTGGAAAGCCCAACGTCTGAACCTGTGTCTGGGCGAGCGGTTGATCTGAGTATAAGAGAACTCGTCCAGTCCGCTAATATTCAAGTTTCTCACTCTCCAAGCATCCCACTTCGTCCTTCACTTCACCAGCATTGCTCTCCAGCTCATACCCTTCCTTCTTTGAACCAATTCACTCTTTGCTCTGTGAGCTTTTCATCCGTTCTCTTCACTACCCACAAACACCCGTTTCCACACAAACCCAAACAACCATCAAGATGTACTCCAAGGCCTTCCTTACCGCTCTCTTCGGCGCCTCTGTCGTCTCTGCCCACGGCTTCGTCGAGAAGATCACCGCTGGTGGCAAGTCCGTCGACGGTCTCAACCCTTCCAGCTACCCCTACGCGAGCACCAAGCCCACCACCCCTGGATGGGCCGCCACCAACACTGACCTCGGCTTCGTCGCCCCTGACGCCACTGGCGACGCCGACATCATCTGCCACCGCGGTGCTACCCCCGGTACCTCCTCCATCTCTGTTGCCGCCGGTTCTACCGTCACCCTCAAGGTAAGCTACCACGCTAACATGGTCCTGTCTCCGACTTTAACTAATGTTTTCCTTTCCAGTGGAACACCTGGCCCGACTCCCACAAGGGTCCCATCATGGACTACCTCGCCAAGTGCTCCGGCGACTGCACCTCCGCCACCAAGGCCGACCTGAAGTTCTTCAAGATCGCCGAGAAGGGTCTGTCCGGCTCTACCTGGGCCGCTGACGAGCTCCTCTCCAACAACCTCGAGTGGACCGTCAACATCCCCAGCGACATCGCCGCTGGCAACTACGTCCTCCGCCACGAGATCCTGGCTCTCCACTCTGCCGGCTCTGAGAACGGCGCCCAGTTCTACCCCCAGTGCATCAACCTCGAGGTCACTGGCGGTGGCTCTGCCAACCCCACTGGTGTTGCTGGCACCAGCCTGTACACCGCCAAGGACGACGGTGTCATCTTCGACAGTGAGTTAATCCTGAGCATTCTATATCTACAACATGCTAATCATTCATGCAGTCTACAACAACCCCACCAGCTACCCCATCCCGGGTCCCGCTGTCTACTCCTCCAAGAAGCGCAGCCACCCCCGCGACCTCTTCATCGTCGACTAAATGGTTTCTCGGCATCATCAACGCACGGGTGCGTAGTGTGGGAGTGAAGTTCACCGCAAAGACAGACGGCAGGCCTGTCGAATTGCCACCCTAGACGGGGATTTGAGCTCCATGGAGGGAATGCTTCTCACGTCTCGCTCATGACATTGCCCTTGCGCGATCATGCGGACGGTTTTTTTCAATATTCACTGTACATCAGTTCGCCTCGACGATCTTTCCTAGGCACCTTTTCGACCTGGAAATGAGCTTCGGCTGGAGGCAACCAGTTTTACAAAGCATCGTCAGTGTATATATTAGTCTTAGAGATGCAACAATTGATATGCTCTGAGTCAACAACATCTTTTTCTCGCACTCGTGAGACCATCGGGATTTGAAGCAGTGCTGATATTGCAGGGTAGTCTTGGCATTCCGGTAATTATCCCGATTTCCCGCGGGTCTGAATCGAACGCCAAGCCCGCGCAACCCACGTGTTACGCGCAAAGTTAAATGAAGCTTGGGCAGATGTTTGGACAACTCGAACTCAATTGCGCAGATAAAGTTCAAACCTTGTTTTG